ATCCAGGCAGGCACAGCGTTTTCCGTGGCAGCGGAGAGCTCTGGTTACCATAGCGCAGCCCGCAAAGAGTTCTACAGCATGTAGGCCCTGGGGAACAATCAGCGACACCAAGCCACCAGAAGAAACTGATCTAAAGCCCGCCTGCTCGATCTTCACATCTATGAAGGCCACCATCAAAATTGCAGCAATTAATACCTGAGATGGCGGGAAGGGCGCTATAATCAGCGTGACAATGTGTCCAGCATTCAAGCCAAAGTGCCCCAGGGGCCTTGATTTCAAGAAGGCGCCGCACAGTTTGAGTCAATGAGCCCATTCCACGGGTCCAAGGGTCCATCGCAGGCTTGGTGGAAGGCAAGGCACGCACTATCTCCAAATTGCTGCGCACGCATGTGTGCACATGCACTTGTTTTCAACCCAGAATGCAACGATGCAACAACAGCTTCACGGGTGCAAAGCAGGGGTCGCACCTTGAGACTTCTTCAAGTTCAAATGCCGAAGCCGCCAGGCCTTGCTCATCCGCTCCCAGTGAGCTCACCGCGGACCTGGCCAAGAGGCGGGTAGCTGCACGCGTGGGCATGCAATGATAATATAATGCAGGATTTGCACGCTCGACTCACACCGACCAAACACACGACACGCAACGTACATTTTGTTTGATCACCCCAAGCGTGTGAGCGCATTGTAGCCAGCTGTTGGCTAAATGCTCATACCCCGCCATGAAAAAGCTGCATGTATATATACAGCACTTCAGCAGCACTAGAGGATCCCCTCAAACTGTACTAATGGTCCTTAAAACCTTTCCTTTGATGCATGAACTAGTCAATATCCTCCGGTTCATCTTGCTTCTCGTCCTTCTTCTCCTCCGGCTCATCTTGCTTCTCTTTCTCCTCCGGTTTAACCTTTTCCTTCTTGCCCAAAGTGCGACAGTTGGGGCCCCGAGGTTTGTAGGTGGGCTTCCTGCATATGGCACACCCATGTGGGCTGAAGTAGCACCGAGGGCATCCCAATTTGCGCCTCTCTGGCACTGCAATTGGCTCTTGAGACACCTTCCGTTTGCCGGTCTTAGAGGCAGATGGAGCCTCGTCATGCTCGGCCTCCGCAGCATCGGACCCAGCTGTCTTGTCGGTTGTGGGACCCTTTTTAGCCTTGGCCGCTTTGGCCTTGCCCGTAGCCTTGGCTGTGGCTTTGGTTTTAGCCTTGGCCGCGGCCTTGGCCCTGGCCTTTGGGGCAACTTTCGGCTGGTTGGCTTCGTCGGTGTGTGTGGCTGCGGCTGCATGATCTGGCTGCGAAGCAAGCTGGCCATGGTTTTCATTGTCGACAGCATTTTTAGCCTTCTTCGTTGCTTTTCTTTTTGTTTCGTCCGTTTTTTGCACAACTGGCTTCTTCGCCCTTTTTGTCTTTGGTTTCCGGGTTGCAGCAAAGATCTTGGAACGTGCTTTTTTCCGGCCCTGCTTGTTGGTTTTCTTCTGGGATGTCCTCATCATTCGTTGCATTTCTGGCGTCACAGCAGGAACTTTCAACTCACCCTCCTTATCTAGGGCTTTCAAGTTCACGGGCTCTGGGATGAAGGCAGGCTCACGTTTCTGGTCAAGTGAACTTGGCTCAGACTTGACGACAGCAGGCGCCGGAGTTGAGTCACTCTGCTGGTCGGCTTGCAAATCAGCCCGGTCAGCGACCTTCAGGCAACAGAAAAACATGAGCACCCTGGAAAGGAACACGGGCTTCTGGTTTCCAAATGTTTCCGAAACAACTCGACAGGTTTGAATGTTGTGTGCGTGCGTGGGCTTAAAAAGTTCCAACCTTCTTCGAATCGGCCATTAGCTCACTGAAGGCCCTGCCAGCAAAGTATCCACGAGATGAAGCTGGGTAAGCCACAGGAGGGGGAGGAAGAACTGCTGCAGCAAAATCAAAAGGCAGTGTGTCTGCCTGCGCGGCAGTGTGTATATGTTTTTTTTCTATATGCAGCCGTTCCCCGTCATAAAACAACCGTGTGTGGGATTCCCTTTTTCGTCCCCTTCAAGCCTGATCCGGGTTGGCCACGGCTATCAAGGCTGAACCCGCTGGCTCCAAGCCGCCAGCTGCAGGACTGCCTTCGGCAAGCCAGGGACAAGGTTGAACGTGGGAACATGTAAAACTCAAAGCTAGAATACCTTGAACTTAGTCTATATGACCATGTGTTGGACCAGGCACCTACCAACTAAATCCCAAGAAAAAACAAGCTGATGGTTCATTTAAGTTGCCTGACGGCGCCTTTCCGGGCTCAGAATGCGAGAATGACCGGCTCTTGCGACGGGCTTGGATCTGAAGCTGGAGGCTCCGAAGTTCTTCTCTAAGAGTCTTTGCCTTGTCGGAGTCCGGGGTACGGGGTGATTCATTGAAACCTTTGATGTTGAGAATGCGCACGTCCTCCTCAACCATGCCCTTAGCGTCCGTCGCGGCCTTTGCGTTCCCGATGGTCTTGCCACTCGTCTTGATGTCCTTGCCATCGCTCTTGTGTTTGCCACTGTAGGCAGTCTTGTCAATTGTGCTCTTGGTGCTGCAATCCTCAGAGATGTTGCATCCCTTCATGAAATGCTTGCCGCCGTCACGCTTGCTTTTGTTCGTGTTGGTCGCGGCCTGGTCGCTGCACTTGCCAAACTCCTCGCCTTTGACTTCCTGAGCAGCCTCCTCCTTCACCTGAAGTAACGTGCCCGTGTCAATGGAGCCGCCAGTCTCGCCAACAGCCTCCTCCCCAAGGGCCGCTTCAGACCGCGTCATGTAGCACTTGTCGTCGCTTTTTCTGGCTTCGAAATCCTCAGGTGAGCTGGTAGCATCGCTAACATCGCTCCCGGAGTCGGACTCGCTATCGCTGTCAGCGTCGGTCGAGCCCTTCTTGGGTGGCCTCCCTTCCCGCATCAGCTGCATCTTCTGGTAGAGGGCTTTCAGAGCCGAATCCTGATCGATCCATGTAAAACAGTTGCCCGGGAGAAGTGGTCAGCTTCGGTGTTTTGGATTGGTGCGGATTTTGCTTTGAAAGTCATAGGAGCGCTCCGCTTACCCTCTACAAGAACCATGCCTGGGTTTCAAACCACACCAATCCAAACCACCAACTAGGGATTACCTGAACTTGGAACAGTTTAAAGCGAAACAAAAAAGAATAATATATGATCTTTAAGGCGGGTCTCACGAGGAGTCTGTCCACGTGTGCGAGCATCCTTTTGCCGGCGCTTGGCAAACCCGGCCAGCCTTTTGATAGTCCAGGCATCCAGGTAGGCTTGGCGCTCGTTGGAAGGAGTGTGCTCCAGGTTCTTGAAGAGATGCTTCACCTGTCAGGAGTGAGGCGCATGACCAATGCCAAACAGATCATTAAGTTGCAATGCCATTCATTGAGTTTATTCTTGCGAGGTATGATGGGTTACTAAAAGTTACCGTGCACGTTGGCTTACTGTCCAAACTGCAAATCAGCCATGAGAACAACATCCCGAGCCCAGGAAAGCCTGGCCTCCTTTTGCACCTGCTTAATTTTCGGCAAATGGCCCACACCAAAGAAGTTGAAGAACTCTTCTATAATGGCGACGTTGAACTGCAAGAACGTTGTGCTTGGAGCAACTTCCTTGTCTTCTTCATGATCTGGTTCTTTGATCCATGCTTCTTTGTTTCGGTGGCGCTTTCTCACAATCTGCAAGGCTTCCCAGCGGTCACCCAATCGAGGTGCCATGGCGACCACTCGAAGCCCTCCCTAGCCAAAAACTGCAGCATTGTTGTCATTGCTGTCATTTTTTGGCAAGCGCACCCAAGCTCTCAAAACGTGCCCGGCAGGACCTGATGCCCTGATAGTGCTCGTCGGAGCAGGGACCATTGCCTGCGAGGTGAAAAGACCGAAGCCGATCCACTCACCTAATAAAATCCTGCCCTACCCCCCCCGCCCCGTCGGTAGGATGGACATCAAGTGAGCTCGGCCCGGCCTCCATGTCAAAGTTGAGGCCTTCATGGCCCCGTTCGGCCAAGCCATCTAGCAGCTAGCAGCTATCATGTGAGTGTCGAAAAGTGTTGAGTGCAAATGCGATTTTTATATGATCAAAAGCCGGTTGTGATGCCCAATTGCTTGATGATTCTGCATCGGTCTTTGAACATCCTGGAAAGTTGCATGAAATGCACCGGTGGCAGAAATGGCTGCAACTTACGCATAAATACGGGCACTTGCCACAATTGCTGAAAAAAAGCTGCAACTACGGTTTTCAAGGGTGTTTGTTTTTGAGAGACCCCCTTTTGGTGGTGTTACCGGAACATCAGTTAAAAAAGCGCACAAGACACGTCCATATTACCACACAAGTTATGGGGCAACTGAGGGTCCAGGTACATCTTGGCCCGCTAAGAAATGATTTAAGTTTTAGGTGTGGGCTGTGAACGTTGACTAAATCCTCGACCAAATCTTCGCTGTTCTTGGCATGTTTTTTCCCCCCCTTTTAGTATGGGGTTCTGTTCGTTTGTGTAGCTGCAAGCAAAACATGCCAAGGATTGGACAGAAACAATAAATATACGTGGCGGAATAATTCGAACAGGGGGGCGTTGTGCAGTAAAACCACATTTTGTCATGTCATGTGTTGCGGGGGCGATGGTGTCTACTTACTTAGCCCCTTAGACTAGTGGTGTTTTCTTGTTATCCTTCGTTCACCCAAGCTGATTTGAGGGCTCCAGTCGCAGTCTCAGAACTCTTTGTTCCATTGTGTAAATGAAGGTTGGCTAAATATGAAAGAGTGCCAAGTTGCTGGACCCGCATGAAGCCCTACGGTGCCCAGGGGATCAGTCTGTCGGAGGCCACAGTTACATAATCCATGCCAGGTGAATCGGTGCTGGTGCGATAGGGGAATGAGAAATGGACTGAACCCGAAAAATCCCGAAAAAAGTAAACCAACAGTTGGATGGTTTCTCTTCTTCAAGGTCAGTCCATCAGGATGGCCAAAAAGCAGTTTTGCAGCGGCTGGTTCAAAGGGCCCAGTCCGGTTTTCAGCTTCGTTGAGGTGTACTCATCACCCAGCGAAAGCATGGACAAGATCAAGGTCATCAAGAGCAGGCCTCTCTGGCACACTGCCTTCCTTTTTCCTGAAAACCGAACTCTCAAAAATGACCCCATGCTCGAGCGAGATTGAAGCGCCAAACTGCCGATCTAAGAGCGACGACCGTGTTGAGCATTTGTTTTAGGGATGTTTACATTGCGGTGGGGAACTTGTGTTGTCCCCCTTGGCGTCCCTAAACCTGCCTCTTAAGAGATGGGTAGCAACTCAATCCAGACTCCTGCAAGTCTCAACCTGGTCAAAATGGAATTTCATGGGGCTTGGTGCCTAGACCTACGGAAGAATGCCTCGAAGCGTTCTAAGCCGAGGATTCCGAACGCCACGGTGACGGACGTGCTTATGGCGCTCACTGGCCTGACTTTGCAGGCGCGGAGTTTCTCATGATTTCCATGTAGGGTGGGGATAAGCAACCAGACAGCCGTGCGTGTGACTTTCAATGGGGCGCTGTGGTGGACATCATTTAGGTAGGGATTCATTCATGTCCACCAACCGCTTTTAGGATCCAACCCTATTGACGTTCACAGCCAAGTCGGTTCAAAGGGAAACGCTAAAGGAGCTGATCTAGCCCCCTCACCAATGGCCCCCACAAATTGCCCAAAGAGGTTACTTGCCATGTGATTGCCGTTGGGCCCTTGGCAATAGAGCAATTGTTCGATTCAAGCTAAACCTAAGTTGGCGTGAAGGCAAATTCAATGGAGTTGATGTTTTTTTTCAGTTTGATGCTTCAACGTGGCTCGTCCCTAACGTGTCCTCGTTTTGAAGACAATTTAACCACCGTTGGCATGTGCTGCTGGCTGTCAACTCAGACGAGGCGCAAATCCGATCCAATGAACGGAAGCAGGAAGGCAGGATGCAAAAGCCCTCCGAGTGCAGGTGCAAGGCTTTTGGTGAATGATAACACCTTGCCTGCGGGCGCTGATGACTCAACCTGAGTGGACTTAATGAGGTGCGCAGAAAGCACGAGACCTCTGCCCTTCGCCAAGAACGCCCCGAACGGCATCATGTAGCCACCCCGCTCATCTTGAAAGGGTGAAGTGACTGTTAGGTGCCACATTGGATCCATGAGCAGTGGCTCTTTGACAACCCTCACCGCCACACTAGCTCTAGAGTTTGGCGACTAGGCTGGAAGAAATGCTCACAGATTTGACTATCGCCAATTCTGTGCGTTTGGCCATTCTTGACGGATTTGCACGGCTGCCACAGGGTGGCGTGGTTTTCAACAGGACTGACGCCGCCCGTTTGAACGTCAATTCCCCGGATGCTTGCTCGCAAACAGATGCGCGGTGAGCATCTCCGCGCGAATTGCGAAACTTGTCGCTGCAATGACCACAAGCACTTTGCGCGTGAGCGGCTCATTCGACTCACTCCAGTGCAAAAGCACATGTGTTGCATCAAAGCGTCTCTGCGTCCACATTGCCCTGGAGCAGTGTCAAGCTGTTCCACAGAAACGGCATTGGTACCGCAGGCACACTGCAACGCACGCAGGCGGCCAACAAGCCATGTGTGGTCGAAAGAGTCAATGCTGAAAAACGCAGAAGACGTATGGCTAACAGTGCTCCTGCCTTGCCTGTGCCTCAGAGCTGGGAGCTGGTCCTCATGACAAGAAGTCTGAAGCTGCACAGCATCTTTGCATGACCGACACGTGAGCCACAAAAAGAGTCATCTGCGCATCAACCGCTTGGCACTTTGGCACAAACTCGCTTACCAGTGCGCTTGCTTGCACACGACCGTCCTACACGATCCCAGGAAGAAGCTTTAATTTGAGCAAGAAACCGCCTCACGCCGCGACAATAAGAACTCGCAAGATAGGCCTTGTCAATGCGAGGTGTGTGGAGACAATGCTGGCTCTGCTGAACGGCAGCGCCCTGCAGACCTCCCACGGCAACCAGCCTGTGAAGCGCCCCAGAGTCCAGAAGCTCCAAAAACGACTCACGCTGTTCCGCCCAAGGAAGTGCTATTTTCGCTGCTCCTCTGCGGTGTTTTGTGAGCGTAAGGGTGTTGTTGTGCCGCTGTGATGGGCGGGTCAAGCGTGGTCATTCTGAACTGTTCAACATGGCAATGGTGCAATGATCTTGATGGTCAGCCCCAAGCAGTCGAACCTTTGCGCAAGTGATGATGACAACGGAACTGCACTTTTCGTGGCACATGCGCAGTATTTAGACACTTCTTCGAAAGCTCAGAGAAAACAAGCTTGTTTTGCGTGACGCCTGGAACTGCATTTTGTAGCGTGCAAGTTTCCTGGCAGGAGCGCTAGTTGAGCAGCTTGCGGTGTTGGAACGCTCAGAAACTCTAGTGGCCCTGCTGCCAGAACAATGGAGCCTGAAAGTTTGTTTTGTCTTCGCGCGACGTGTGTTAGTGTGCCCAGCGAAGGGGCAACAACCAGGACGTCCCACAGAAAGCTGCTTAGATTTCCCCAGGCAAAAACTATTTTTCTCGGGCGGATCTTGGGGGAAGCCATGGGCAAGCCCTCCCTGCTCTGTCCAAGCCTGGGTGGTTCCGCGCGCCGAATAGTTTGTCGCCAAATCCCCCAAAACTGCTTGCGGCTCCACCCACTTCGGCGTCTGCCAGACGCGCGGTGTGCGACTTGGTGCTGTCGTGGAGCTGTCCCCCTGCTCTGTCTCGGCATGTGGAGAAAACAGCTTTTCTGAAAAAAATGTTTTGTGCTGGTTCTTTTGCCGGTTATATTTTGGGGCCCGGCCTCCATTTTTTCAAAGCCCCCAATAGCTGCCTGCGTCTCAATGTGCATCGGCGCTCGGGCGCTCGCTTGGCGTTGTCGCAGTTTGGCGTAAACATGTTTGGAAGCTGCGCGCAGGCCATGCGCAAACGCCTCCTTGCTCGGCCACCTGTGCCTACTCTATACCTGTGAGGGTGATATTTTTTCGCGGCGCTTCCTGGGCACGTCACCTCAATCGCGCACGGTCTTGGACATGAAGCGTTGTCGCAGCTTTGGCTTCGCAAGCCCTCCCTTTGTCTGAACCTGTGGTTCTGCACATGTGCCTTTTATCTGCGGGAACGAAAATAACTGTTCAGGCTCCGAGTATTTTGCTGGTAGGCGTTTGGAGGTATTCATAGTAAGGCCGACACCATGCGCCTCTACCGCCATGTTGGTAGAACGAAAAACACGAGTTTCCTTTGGTGAAAGGTAATTATTGGGAGCCACATGTCATTGGGATCAAACAATATTGAAAGGACTTGAAACGTCTCCCGACAAGGAGACTAGCTCGCCACGCATTGGTTGGCTGTTTTCGCCTCAGTGGCCACTGAAGCGTAACCCACCGTGACTCACATGCCCCTTGAAAAAGGGCATTTCAGGTATGGTTTTGGACCCTGGAGGTATTCATTATACCGAAGCATGTAATGCAAGATAATCAGCACACATATCTGTAAAAATATGTGGATATTAATAGGTATAGTGGTAGAAAGCTTCCATACCTCCAACACTGCCGAATGTCCCGCCAGGAGTACTACCGGAGGTATGAACCGACAACCCTGCAGCAGGTCGTTCGTGGCAACTTTCCGCTGAACATGCACCAGGCCGGGCGAAGGGGCCTTTTGGGGGCTCCTGCGTTTTCAACCTTGGCTTTCCTTTAGTTGCCGTTTCTACTTGGTAAATGCTCTGTTTTAACATCTGTCAAAAGAACCATGTTTGACAACAGTTGGTAATCGACTCTCAGCGGGACCTATTCAATGAAAAGTGCAGGGTTGCTGTCTATGCACATAGTTTTAGTCGTTGTGTTTTACAATAGTTGTCTTTTATTGAAGTAATGTTCAGCTGCGAATGCTCCAAAGCCTCTCCGAGTGTCGCCTGATGTTCTTTGGCTGTTTTCGGAAGACCATTTTAGCGGAAGACAAAGCGTTCAGGCTTGTTTCTCGCCCAATGCAATCAGGAAGTGAGTTTCGAATTTGCCTATGTCCTGTCATGTCCTTTTCGACGTGTCAGCATCCTCCAGGAGCAACACCTGAGACAATCAGCCCACAAGATCCGATCGCTTCCCCAGATAGTGGACAAGAAAAACGTCAAGGTCGTGGCACACAGCAAATGCGAGTCCGCAAACATCCATGATGGGTAAAACCGACACACATGTTATGGTGTAGCTTGATGCACTATGTACTCTTGCCAGTCGAAGTAGCATTTGTTGGCCTTTCCGTTCATGTTCCCGGTGCTTCCAGTGCCACTATAGTAGGAAACCAGGGGAAACCATGACGTAACACCCAGAGGTAGCATGCCTGGTTACCTAGTGTAGAGGTAACTGGAAGCACTGGATTTGCGATTCAGTCCAGGCCTAAGCTTAAGCTGCGTCTCGGCAGCTCAGTAACCTGTTCCAGACACCCGGTGGCACCCTTTCTTTATGTTTGGATAGGGTGTCCCTTTAAACTTGTGCCCGTTTTCTTCGCCACTGGGGGTGTGGGGTGTTTGTTGCGTCACAGACCGCCATTTGAGTGGCAGTCTAGGTAACACATCCTTAGTGTATTCTGTAGAGGCAACATGGGACCCGGTACCCAGAAGGTGTTCAGACACTTTTTGAGGGGCCATGCTAAGGTTCCTTCCACACCGTTCGCGGGCAGCAAGTTAGTGAAACTACCAAGGATTGGCCCTTTTGAGAATCCGACCCAGACCAACCCGCAAAGCCTCCTGCCCGGGACCCGTTCGTTTTTCCACCCCCACCTGCTTGTTGACCTCCATTTTACCCTTGAATTTATGGGCAAAACAAAGGTTGGGGGTGCAACCACACAGGGTTCCCCAAGTTTGCAAAGATCTTTCCGGCTGGCAGGAATCTTTGGGGGGTGTGGTGTCCTTGCAAAAACCGTGTTGCCCTTAGTCTCCTCCCTGCGACCTTCAGTGGCAGCATTTTTCCTTTTTATTTGAGCAAGTTACCAGAGGTTTGAAAGTTTGGGTGTATGAACATCTTTCTAGAGCAGGTGGTTGTCAAGAGCAGCCCGGACCGCCGTTTAGCACTTCACTGCACGGCAGAAGCTGATCGCGCAAGAGCCATTGCGTGAAGACACAAATTAGGCGACTTTATTGAGTCGCCTCCATACCGAAGGGAGGGTTGTTCCCTTTTTTCCCTGCAGAAGTCAGTCCTTCTATTTGTCTTGGAAGGACCTTGTTTTTCCAAATATTTCCAATAAGAAGCTTTGTTAACTTAAACGAATCGCGTAATGATCGAGTGGGACCTATGCTGACAACATGGGCACGATTCCCACTATCGGACATGTTGATGAAAGGGTTGTTTGAATGAAACACGTCATTAGCATGTCCTACTACCTGCATCTCTTGAAAGTTAATAATTCCCACTCCAAAAAGAAAAAAAGTACTTTCTTCCATGCTGGAGTGATACTATTCACTCCGTGTTAAAATGCCCGTTCGGGTAGTTCCGACTGCTCAGGCATCCGTTCGGACCCGTTCGGAACCCGTTCGAAACCCGTTCGAAACCCGTTCGAAACCCGTTCGAACCCGTTCGAACCCGTTCGGACCCGTTCGGACCCGTTCGGAGGTACGTAAAAAATACGCCAACAATACGCAATAAGCCTTTGATAGTTTATGTGCAGTGCTGATTTATGAACACTTCGATGGTAGTGAAAATATCCGTTCAAGAGCAGAAATACCCGTTCGAAAGTGGAAATACCCGTGTCCTCAGGCCAAAAAGTACTTTTTCAATTTTAGAGTAGGAATTCTTAACTCCCAGGAGATCCAGGTAATGTCTAGACATTCCATCACTATGTACTGTCTCGGAGCCTCAGCAGGAAGTTCATGGCGCTGGGTCCTGAATGGCCCAAAGAGGCACCAGTCGCACATAGCAACTAGTTAGGTTCGCGAAGTGACACCATGATCGGGATGGCCGGCTGTGCAGATCTCGGGTTCTTTCCCAGAACCACGGAGTCCCTCGCAATGCCTTTTTGTCAAGGGTGAGTGCAGGTACTCTCATTCAGAGCCCTTGATTGGTGGTTTGTTGGAGGTTTGTGGATTTGAAGCCCAGTTCCTTTGAAGCCAATTGGGGAAGGTACCCCTAAGGTCAGAATTCTCTAAACCAAACCACCAAACAAAAAGGGAACTCGTAGCTGTAGCTTTACGGAAGGAGAACGAGGACATCACCGACCCGAGGGTCTATGGGAACAGCTTCTCTCAAGGCCTCCTCACGTTGCTTGGCGCTTAGCCATACGCTTAGCGTCCAATTGATGAAATTAATCCCTTTGATTTTTCCCCTCTTGGTTTGAAAGGGAATCTTTCACTGGAAGTATGTTCTCATGTTTGTCCAGACGTATCCGCAAATTGAGTTTATATTTTTATAGTTCTGCTGGTTCTCGGTAGGGAATCGAATCCGTTAAGGAGGTTTTGGGAACGAAGGTTATCCCCTAGGAAACCGCAAGGTGAATAATTTGGGCTTCACAAAGATTATCGAACCAGGTAGCTTGGACTTGGTTTGAACACAAAACAAATACCACTAAAAGCTTAGTGGAAAGAGCTGAGGTTTCCCTTACACTTGGACGATCCTGTGGAGTTCATGCGAGACGTGAAGAGCCAGATCGATTTGATCAAGGTCTCGCCGGAGCCTATTGCCCCTCAGACCCATGGCGTGAGTTCTTAGGGACTCTTTGGTGCACATCATGGGGTTCATGTCCACCAACCACTTTCAATGTGTTGGTTCCCGATTTAAACTCATAGTCATCAAAAGGGCGTTTCTCATAAAGAAGCCCAGACGTCCACAGCCTCGAAACCCCGGAGCCCTCCCAAGCTCCGAAAAGCTACGAAGAGCTTATTTGGGGCCCTTTGGACCATAGCTTTCTGGTTCTAAAAACTGGGTCCTTTGGGTTCCCTGTTGGTTTCCCTCCTGTATTTGTGAATGATAGCGGAGAAATCATCCCTTGATTTGGCATGAGTCAATGAGAATTTCAGAAAGGGGTCCTTCACCTTTGCAGTTGCAGCCTACTAATCCACCAGCTGTGCAGGTTGGTTATTCCGGGGTCATTGTACCATCGACCCCGGAAAAGGAAAGGTTCGTTCTGTAAGGGGCTGTCCCTTAGCTTGTTTTGCAGGCCCAAAGCATTGATGCTGAGGAGAAAAGCACGATACCCCAGAAGCCAAGAAGACACAGGGAGAATTGGTTCGTTGCTAAACCGAGGCTCCAGAGGGGACACTTGCAGGCCCCAAACCGATACTCAAACCAAAACTCAGTCGATACCTAACCGATACTCATGCAACCAGCTGCCCAGTAGCACGCCCTGTCTTTGGTTTGCTATTTTCAGACCAACTCTCGAGTTCCTCTGTACCAACCATCTCAAGGCCGCAAAGATTTCACGTTTTTGTATTTTATTTTTTCAGCCCATCTGAATTATTTCAAGATTAGCCCCATGCAAACCCATGAGTTCCACCCCGGATTCATTGAGAACAGCCCGCAAACGCCCGGCGCGCAAGCCGCCCCGAACCAAACTCGGGGTCTGAAAGCCGCGCCTTTCCGAGGTGCGGTACGGCTTGGTTCGCTTGCTGTGCCAGAGCAGCCTATCTCACTCCACGGTTTTGACGCTTCGCTGCGGTTTTGGGTGCAGGGGGTCGAGTCGAAGCCAGGACTTCACACCAAAGCCGAATCCACGGGCCCGCAACCATTCTGAGGCCAAGAAACCTCAGGGCAAAACCAAACGTTGATTGATGTTGACATTGGTCGCTGCTCCCCTGTTGAAATCATTTCCCCGTGCGGTTTCGGCCAAAATAGCCGTTGCCATTTTTTTTTGAACGCGACCAAACTTCCCAAAATTCGATTTGTGTTTTGCCCTAAATGGAGTCCACCAAAGGCTTCCCAACTAAAGTTCATGCCCATAGACAGTTCAAAAAAGGAGGAACCAAGCAACTGAGCTGCTCTTTGGTACGACCATAATATCCTTTTGGCCGGTTGACAAACGACCGACGAACTGCGTTGTCAGGGGTCAGTTGGACTGTTTTGCTGGGTTGTTCACGATCAATGTTTACTCAATCTTTATGCCAGATGAATCAATTGCGTGGTTTCCCTTATTATAGTGGTGTCCCCATTTCGTGTTACCTGGCCTCCAACAATGAGGGAAGCTGACAAGACCGTGTGGGAACTGTTGCTTTCGGAGGACCTCCCTGTCCACTCCCATTATTGGAAGGAGGGTACGGATCGTCAAGTTGTGAACATCAGGAGTGCACCCATTTTGAACAGCCAAGGGGGCCCAAGAGGCTGTCCTGAATCCACGAGAGGTCTGAGGAAAGGAGTGGTCCCAAAGTGCTCAACCTCCTTCCTCTAAGGGTCCGAACTGGGGACAAGAAATATCACCGGGGATTGCAGTTAAGTCGACTTGTCAAAGTGCTATTTGCTGTTAAATGGGAACTATGAATGAAGCTCATAGCTTGGTGGTTCCCAGCCATCCGGTTCCCGAGCTTTCTAGGTTGTTAGTTGGTTTAGTGGTTGAGTTTTTCCGAAGAAGAAAAAAGGCTTCCCCGGTATCCCCACAAATTTGAGTTCCCAAGTTTCCATTTAACCCACGAGTAAAAAAAACAAGTCTGAGCCAGATGGGAGCAAAGACGCCGCTCCTCCAAAGGAGGTTTCGCTAGGGTCGAACGGTTTCGCCGTTGAATGGGTTTAGTCCCCTTTGGAACCTATGGGGCCACTCAAGTTGTTGGCTTAGGGGCCAATTTGGTGTGCCTTCTTTTTCAACTTGTGCTGAAAGATAAAGGATCTCCCCCCCCCCCCCGCAACACAAAAAAGAAAAAAAAAAGCTCGGGCGATATCCCCAACAGCACCACACCCTCCCAGAATCCTCGCGGAACGCCCCGGGACCATCCTCCCTGATCGAGGCCCTACTTCGCAATCGGGGCCCGATCGGGGCCCGACAGCGCAATCGGGGCCCGATCGGGGCCCGACGGTGCAATCGGGGCCCGATCGGGGCCCGACGGTGCAATCGGGCCCCGATCGTCCCGTGGTTCTTCCCCAGCCACCCATAATTTTGCTCAACGCCGGTTTTCCTTAGCATGCGGATTGCAACTGTATTTATAGCAAAACTAGGCGATGCCAGCTTGGTACAATTGACGGGGCCCGACGGCGCGATCGGGGCCCGATCGGGGCCCGACGGCGCAATCGGGGCCCGATCGGGGCGACGATGCAATCGGGGCCCGATCAGGGCCCGACGGTGCAATCGGGGCGATCGGGGCCCGACGGTGCAACGGGCCCCGATCGTCCCGTGGTGCAACCCCACCCACCCATATTGTAGCTCAACGCCGGTTTTCCTTAGTATGCGGATTGCAACTGTATCTATAGCAAAACTAGGCGATGCCAGCTTGGTACAATTGACGGGGCCCGACTGAGTCGGGCCCCGATCCGGGCGCGATGGCGCAATCGGGGCCGATCGGGCCCAAACGGTGCAATCGGGCGGGCCCCGACAGTGCAATCGGGCCCCGACCTGGGCCCGGTGAACCTCGCAAACCGATCTCACGCAACTTTCGTGGAGCTCAGCGTGAAACTTTGCTGGAACCTTTCCTCAGGGCTGCCCCATAGCTTTTGCAGAATTTGGTGGGAACTTTCTGACCTCATAGCCCTCGCAGCCTCGTGGAATTCTTGGAACCAAGCAGCAATGCCAAGCATTTACTCTGCTGCACCGTGAGTTCCGCAGCGACGTGATCTGATTTGCCACAAAGCCAACATTTGCCTGAGCAAGTGAGCAAGTCACAAAACAGTGAAAGTGTGCTAAAAAAATCATTTCGGTTTTGCTTAGTGTTCCGCCCATGAGCAAAGCGATCTTGATCCGATGGCTTTTCAGACGACGGGCGCACGACACACCCTTGGTGGAGCATTGTGGAGCCTTGTGGAACCCGTGTGGAATCCTTGCAGAGCTTTGTGGAACCCTGTGAAAGCTCAGGGCGCACAGCCCTCGCAGAATCTTGTGGAACCCTGAAACCCTCATACAACCTTACCTCAAACCACCCCTGGGACCCTGCTAGAACCGTGCTGGAATGGAACCTTACCTGGTGGAACCCTGGTAAAACCCTGGTGGAACCCTCGTGGTGGAACCCTGGTGGAACCCTCGTCCGGAGCACGACGGCTGGTGGAACCCTGGTGGAAACCTGGTGGAACCCTCGTGGAACCTTACCTCAAACCACCTCGGACCACCCTGCAGCCCTCGCAGAACCTGGTGAAACCCTGGCAGAATTCTGGTGGAAATCTGGTGGAACCCTCGTGGAACCTTCCTCAAACCAGACCACCCCAGCCCTCGAAGAAATTGCTGGAACCCTGGTGGAACCCTCGTGGAACCTTACCTCAAACCACCCTGCAGCCCTGGTGGAACCCTCGTGGAACCTTACCTCAAACCACCCAGACCACCCCGCAGCCTGGTGGAACCCTGGCGGAACCCTCGTGAACCTTCCTCAAACCCGCAGCCCTCAAAGAAATTGGTGGAACCCTGGTGGAACCCTCGTGGAACCTTACCCCACAGACCACCCCGCTCTTGCAGAACCTGGTGGAACCCTGGTGGAACCCTGGTGGAACCCTGGTGGAACCCTGGTGGATCCCCTGGTGGAACCCCTGGTGGAACCCTGGTGGAACCTTAGCTCAGGGTCGCCCCGAACCACCCCGGAGCCTATCTGGGCTGAGACCCCAAAGCTTTCAGCTGTTGGGGAAAAAAGAAGAATGATTTCATGTCCGATTTTGTCCGGGTACGTGGAGGCTCCAGATACCCCAAAACGTGGGAGATATCTTTTCCCCGGTCCATTCCATCGAGAGGAGCAGTTTTCGCCGAGGAAGCTGCTGCTGGACGCCTTTGGCAAGGTCACCGCGATGCTCTCCAGCGTCATGGGCCCTACAGAGGACTCTCGGGGCTGGCGCGGTTTGGGCCGGGGCTGGGGGCGTTTAAAGACGAGTCCAGTTGCGCATGAAATGGAAAAACAAAAACTAGGGCGGTGTTCTGCCAGGTGCAAGTGTTGTAAAGTAAAGGTTATATAAACCTTTAGAACCAGGTTGGGTTTGGGTGATGCTTATTTTGGTGAATGTGTTCAAGGCTGTTTTGAAGGGAAAGCAAAGGTGACTTTGGAGGATACCATACCCATTCTTTGGTGGATTTAAAGGGAAGCCAACAGGAAACCCCGTCAGTTTTGGGGGCCGCCGAAAAAGAGACACCCAGATATCCGTTCTTGAAATGCTTTACTTGGCCTTGGGTCCATTGAGGTAGGTGTTGATGGCTTGGGTGTAGTTTGAAAAGGGCCCAGTAGCCTTTTCAGGTGTTCGGAAGCCCAAGGGACGTCTCACCGAATTTGGTGCAGAAGTACTGGATGGAGGGCACCAATGGGAGGGATTCCGGGTGTGAAATTCTTCTTCGGGTTGAGCTTTCGCTCCATTTTTTTCGAAAGTCAGGTGAGGCGCAAGCCCGATGGAAGCGGCTGAGCAAAAGATGGATGTAGCTGGTGAAAGAGCAACCGTTTAGCCAGCATCGTTGATTCCCGTCTTGTTGCAGAAAGTGTCGCCACGGGGCTTAGATGAAAGAAGCAAAGCAAAAGCACAATCTCCTAGGCAAAGCCTTTGAGTTGGAGCATATCCTTGTTGATCTGTTATTTTTGCCTGCCTCATGGTTTTCCTGGAGGTGTGTTGATGACAAGCAAGAACATGCAAAAACAAAACACCTGGAGGCAGACCAGCGAAACAACAACCGTCTCCCAGGCAAAACCTGTGAGTTGTCGCTTTGTCGTGTTATTATTTTTGGTTTGTGTTATTATTATGTGTTTTGTTTCTTTGTTTTTGTTTAATGAACATGTGTGCTTTTACTTGTTTTCATTTTTGTGTTGGTTCTCCTCGAGGTTTTGGATGAAAGCCAGGAACATGCGAAACCAACTCGAAGAGAAGAACCAACACGAGTTGGGGATATTCAACATTCCCCCGACTGTGGTTTTCCTCGTGGACACCAAGAAATGCAAAAAGGACACATAGCAAGGACAAAAGAATCAAACAACAAACTATCTCCCGGGCAAAGCCTTTGAGTTGGGGATATGCCAGATTATCCTGATCGATTTGTATCATTTTACTGTTAACATGGAAGCTCCCGAACGGACCCCGAAATCGAAGACTTGGTCCTGCTGGGAGCTTCCATGCTAGTCCGAGGGAGTGTAGCTTCCAAACTCGGAGCTGACTTTTTTGCCAGGTGGCATCATTTCGCCCCAAGAAGTTGAGTCACATATCGGGCCAGTCAACTCAGCTTCAGGAGAGTGAGTTAGCCCGCCCAGCTGCATGGTTTCCGAAGCTCCGGGAGGTAAGCCGGGGGCCATTCCCCAAGCAGGTAATGGGTGAAGCGCGGGTACCGTAGGTGCAAGGTAGGGCAAGGTGCCAATGGAAACCGGATTAGGCCCTTGGTAGTTGAAACAACCAGGCCCTGCCTCCTTCAACTCACTTCTTGAGTTCATGGACTTCATGCTTTTGGGGAAGACAATCGTAAACAGAAAGTCCAACTGTTTCTTTCCAATCCACTCAGGAAGTGAGTTATAGAGAAGCCACAAGGAGGTTGAATTTGCTCCCTGCGCCTCGCTCCTGAGCATTGGTTGGTCACCTTTCTTGTCCTAGAGGTTTCTAAGGCTCCCAGATGCCCAGTGGCGCCCTTTTTTCCTTTCTTTTGGGGAAGGTTTCCCCTTTAACCTCAACCAACCCAAAAAGGGAGGCCCATTTTCTCCATGGCGAGTGCGTGTTTTGCTCCGAAAGGGCGAATCTACTTGCTGCTGCTGGTTTTGGACGTGAACCCAGGGATTCGCTGAAAGGAAGGCACAAGGGACGGTTTCTTGGGGTCATTCCAACAAGCTCCCTGGCTATCGAACCATCAAGGCTACGAAAGGGTCGCCTGTTTCTTTGCAATTTCAAGATGTTGATGATATCATGGATATATATATATAATATATATATATATATATGTAGAGCTATCTCTAAACAGAAAGAATTGTAGTGAAAGTATCTCAAAGCTCGGTCTGCCAGGAGGTGCAGATGTTTGGCCAGGCCCTGAAAGACCTGAGCTTTTACGCTATGCCGCCCCTCGGAGTTGCTCGGTCAGAAAAAATTGCAGGCGGCCAGGGAGTCCAGGGGTAAGACCTGGTTGTTGGGAAACATTTGAATCATTTTTGCTTATTGTGGTTTCGTGGTTGAAATCCAACCACTTAACTGCTAAAAGTTGTGCAATGTCAAACAAGAAGACGAGCCAACAATGGCCAGTGGGTCCTTTGCTTAGGGCTCCATCCCCCAAAAAAAGGGGCCGGGTTTTGGAATCTCCAGCTTTTTCGTTGCTTTTCGCTGCATTGTGGACGTCTCAATGTTTCCCCTTGTGGGTCCACACATTGTCCAGGAAAAGGGGGTGCCCAACAAAAAGGTATTCCGGGACCCAGCGGCTATGAATTGGTTTCTAAAGTGACCCTTCAGCTATGTTGGGGGCCATTTGACTGAAATTGGCATCTGTCTTTTTGTGTTCTTTCCATGGCCACCGAAGGTTTACATCGGCATCCTCACTTACAATGGCCGTGCCTTGGCTTTTACGTTGAGGGAGCTGGCCTTGGGTCAACCCTTCGACAAACCTGGTTATTTTGCGAGGCCCATCGGATTTGGGGAAAGCCTCACTGTTTTGTCTAGGGTAGACTATGGGTGCGTGTCAAAAGGCAAAACGTGTGGGTTTCCCTTAGGCTTCCCTTTGAACCAACCTGAGGGGGACCAGCTCAAATTACGAACCAAGCAGAATCTGAAGACATACCACAGAAGTGCAGTGAACCGCTTTCTGGAATTGTTTCGCTCGAATTGTTTAACCACACTGTTTTGTCAGGAAGGCTGTAGGGCATATGATTTGTTTACCAAAAGCTGCGGACGAAAAGTGGGGTCATTTAGTGTCTCCTCCAAATCTATTCTATATCCTTCCCTATGAATCATAACTTGAAGTCTTTTTTTGTTTGCGGACACCATACTTTTTAGAGTACCCCAGTGGGCCAAGCTATGTTTAAGGAGGAATCAGAGGGACTGACTGCGACCAAGCCTTCTTGCTGGTGCGATAGGTAGGTTGGGATTCCCTCATTTAAAAAATGCAATAAGACAAATAGGAAACAAGACACATGCAGGAGGAATTTTCTCGGTTCCATGTCTCCTTCCCATCGCAGCGATCGCAAATGTCTTGAAGCGTAAGGCGTAAAGGTGAGCATAACTACGGACATGGAGGCGGAGACGGAGCCCAAGCGCTTGGGGGACTGCTGGGAGGCCAGTCACCCAGGGGAAAAGTTGGTAGGGGAGCTTCCATTTACTTTTTGTCTGGCTTTTGGTTGGTTTAGTGGTAGTTTCCGAATTTAACCCACACTTCAAACGTGTTTGCTTCCATTGATTGACAAGAGCAATCGCTGTCGTATGGTAGCTTCCCGTTTGGTATGTTTTTTTGGGTTTTAGTTGTGTTCATTGTTTTGGGGGTTGCAAAGCTTCCATATGCTGAAATACAGTATATTTGTTTTTTTCTTCCCCTGGTGGTTTTAACGGGAATCGAGTTCAGTGCTGGACATATGTTCTTTTTGTTTGCAGACTGAAGCAAATGGAGGGTAACTGTTGGTGAGGGGAATCCCCTTGAAAGTAACTCAAAGGAATGGGCATCCCACGTGACAGCAAAGCCTATTTAGCCTATGTGCAGGCTTTCAGTCGAATTGGGATACAAAAAGCAGTGGCATCCTTCCTATGTTGCTATCATCTAGGTCCCCCAGTAGAGCTCTTTTTTCCCTTTTTTGGGGGAGGATTCCCCTACTAAAATAGACTACACAAAAAAAGAAACGGATACCCTGATTCTAACCTCTCTACTGGAGGACCTAGTCATAGAAAGGGCGGATTCTCCACCACGTAGGCAGCGATGGACAAGCTGGCGGAGGCGGCGAAACGCTGAAGCGTGGATCGTGGATGGCAGGATTTGAGACGTGCTTCGGCGCGTCTCGGCAACTATTTAACTATTGGCTTGATTGGTTGCTTGCTTGGTTGCTTGCTTGTTTGATTGGCTGGTTGTTTGGTTGGCTCGGTGAGATCTTGAAGACTTGACTTGTGAGAAAATATCTTTTGGTTGGCTTTCGAGGGAAACCAAGACGGACTTTTCCTTTTGGGAGTCTGCCGCGTATGTGAGTGTTGGAATGTGGTTCCCAGTGCTTTCGTGAGAGCTCAACCTTCTCAGGGTTGGTTTGAAGGAAACACACTGGAAAGCACTGATTTTTGGGGCTTCCCCCATTTCCCATTTGGAGACGGACTCATGTGCTGATGAGCAATTGTTTGTTAGTCGCCTGCGGTCGGACGTTTTGAGCCTTGCTGTGCATTGCCTTTTTGAGCCTAGCTCGATAGCAAGCAAGTCGCACATCACTTCGTTGCTGATCGTCATTTTGGTTTCATATATGTATGAGAGCTGACAGAAACCCTTCCCCGCACCTCATAGGAGTAGAACACTGAGAGGGTCGCCTTCCTGCATGGATCTCTGTGAATGTTCGTGAAGAGGAGCCTCCCGTGTTCAGCTCCGTCTCTCTCCTGGGAAAAAAATCATAAAAGCAGCTGGAAGCATGACAAGGCGACTCTCCAGATTTACATGTGTGTTCGTGCTTTTAGGGGACCTTCCCAAAATGGTGGGTGTTCCATTTGTTTGTCTTCAAATGAATCCCAAAAGGGTACAAGAAGCGGCAGACCCACATGGGACCTGCAAAACTGAACCCTTGTTTTGAGTTGGAGGGCAATCATGCTTCATGAATCAATGCTTCTATCACAGTCAAGGGCCAACAAGTTTTGTCAAGGCTCCACAAGTTTAGTTGCTGTGTCTGGCAAGTCATCGCTTTCTTCTGGTCCGTCAAGAGCCAAACAGCTGCATGTGTTGCGCGTGTGTTACTGTTTGTTGCGTTTAATTGAGACCCGAAGGAAACTGATGCCCGTATTGGGAATTCATTTTCCATAGCATTGCTAACTCAGTTGTTCACTGGCGCGGTTCTTGTTTGGTTTGGTTGGGTCCCAACGGCGTCGACCCCTTGTTTCGGGGCCCTTGTTTCTGGGCAGTTGCAACTGGAGTGCTGATTTGGCGCGCCACTGAGGTAGATCGAAATGATCTCAAGTCGCGGTACTCGATGGTTTGGACCCGCGAAAGCCGTGGATGATAGAAATTTGGATCACGGTCCAAACCAAGTTTGGGTGACTGGCAATGTGTTTGGCCCAGTCGGCCTCTTTGGGGGCGAACGGGTCTAATCACGACCTCCCAGTGCTCTCATTTTCCATTGCCCACTGGCGCTGGGGGTTAAGCCCTTGGGTGTGAACCAACCCGTTTGGGGGCTCCGGCAGGGGGAGTGATGTCCTCCGGCCATCGCTTGACATGAAAAAGTGTGACTTCGCGCGAGCCGCCGGGCTCGTTCCGGACGCGCTTGAGGTTTGGCAATGCACAAACGACCGTTTTGTTTTGTTGTTTTCCCGTCCTTGGTGTTGACGTCAAAAGACCGCTTCTAGTTGGGGTTGGTAAGGTTTATCAACGTAGAGGTTTAGACAGCCAATGTGGCTCAGCATGAAACCACAGATTCTGGGTTTGCACCACAGCTCTTTCTTGGCTCAGTTCGGTCAGTTGGGCCCAGCCAGCGACACATGTTAGGTGCCACATGCTTTGGATTTCTAGCTGAGAGCTTCCTCACGTTTTTTGTTTACGACCATTTTTACATACGTATTTTTATATATACGCGAAACAATATGTAGATGCAACTGCTTAAGGATTGAACATTGGGGACGCAAGCGACACCAATGCTGCATGCTCGCTGCTTCGGCTTTTTGCAGGCGCTGCGAGGGCGCTTTCGGACGGCCATGAACAAGCTGGGGGCCGAGCGGGTTTTAGCAGCTGAAAAGTCCCCGGGGCCTCGTGTCGCCAGATTGATCACATCCCTTTTCAACGAGTTCTGCTGGGTTTTGGTGCTTTGTCCTCCAGGAGTGTTCTCCCAGCCTGAGTTCCTGGACTGTATTTTTTTTTGGAGTGGTCAAGAAGATTGGTTGCGACAAGAGGCATGGTTGCCTTTCAGTAGCAAAACTACGAGTGCCGAGGATACGAGTTATCACGTTCCCATGGATCCGGTGGCTCACTGGAATGCGCTTTGTTGGACACTGGAGCCCCTGGCAAGTGGAATTGCAAGGTCCCTTTGCGGCAAAAGGACAGGCCACCCTCAACGACCCTGCCGCCAAAGTCCAACCGAGGCCTGAAGCCCCAGACTGTTGTTTCAAGTCACAGGGATCCAGAGATATTTGCGAACGACAGTCCCCTGCACAAAACCACCTAGCGCAGCAGGTGATTAATATGGCTGTGGGTCAAAAACAGGTACCCAAAATGGAACCCTGGTAAATGGACGCATGCGAACATTTGCGGTAGTTTGGTGATTTAATGTTGATCCAGAGTCATATGGCTACCTCCGCACAGCGAGAGAAGCCTTCAGGGCAGAGCAGCAGCTACATCAGCTTGTGCCCATGCACGCGCCGGACTGCCGAAGACTCGAAGGGGAGCGGAACGCTTCGAACCCCCCACACCACTACTCCACTACCCAGCCTAGGAAATTGGATCTATAAACGCCAAACCGTTGATATATACACACATGATATATAGTTTTGCATAATTTGGACTAGTGGGTATATACCCCCCCCCCCATTTTCTTTGGGGGTAGTGGTTTGGGTGGAGTGGCAACCGTCCCAAACACACATTCCTTGTTGGCTGATTGAGAAGCCCCCAATGAGGTTTCATTAAGTGGTTAATGGGTGATAGCCCCCCTTCCCCAAAGCCAAAACACACGTTCCTCTTTATGTCTGGTCCGCTATGGTTGCCACCACCCCCCCAACCCTCCCAGACACACTTTTCTTTTGGCCTACTTTAGTCTTTCTGATACATGATTGTCATTTTTGTGATTATTGTAAACGTGTCGCGCTGCCCGCCTCGGCCAGGCGTTATTTGATTGGGAGGCTTTCTTGGATCTGCGTTCTTACTGGGGCCAGTCGTGGGAAAGCTGGGCAGCTGGCAAGAAATGAAACGCTCATGCGTGAAAGTATCCGCTTGGCACTGAAGGACAGCTGCAGCCGCAGCCGCAAACGGGAGGGTTGGGGCTGGACTCATGAATGACAGCCATAGTTCAAGAACAAGTGGCCGTGCTTCACCCTCAGTTACTGCTGTCTCTTTTTGTTCCGCAGGCATGCCGCAGTCTACGTTTGACTCTCGCCCTTCCCGTAGAATTCTCACTCCACATGTGTCTCCTGTTGCATGCATTCGAGGTTGAGGCAGGTTGACAAGCGTGCGACTACGTAGCGGCAAGTTTCTCGCCTGCGTGGGTTGAGTTCGACATATCCCCCTCCGTTACGCCAATGGGACGGATGGAAACTCGTGGTTTTGGACAATGATGTTTTAAGGCCACTTCGAACCGCCTTTACAGTGATAAAGCCAGCTTTGGGTATCACGGGGAAGGAATTGTTGGACTTCAGTTTGCCAAGAGGGACCTTCCTGAGCTCATGGCCAGTCATGGGTGTTTCTTTTGCGACACTGTTGGTTTGCGCGTGGGATATCGCTGACGCTTCGTGTCCGTTCCGACTACCTGGAACCCCGGGGCACCAGCCTCCGTCGGTCCTTCAAAGGGGGTGTTTCATTGGAACCCAACAGGTGGATCAGGTGTTTTGGTTGTAACTGACCCCAATTTGGGTGCTGAATAGCCTGCCTTGAATTCCCACCGGACGCAAAAAGAGGATGGGACCCCTCGTCGGCTATCAAATGGTTTGATTGACCTCCGGGAGGTGCCGGGAGGGGCCATTTGAAAGAAATCCTTTGACCCCCAGTCTCCGTCTGCAGGACTTGGACGGGATGCCTTTTCAGATGAAGGCGCGCCCGCGGCCGGGCTTCCGTGACTCACTGCTTCAGCACCAGGCGTCTTTGATTTGTAAGGGAGCCATGGAAGGACCTCAAAAAGGGAAGCCCAAAAAAGAACCAGCGCTCATTGTCCAGTGATTTGGAGACAGGCGGTTTGCCCGAACTGCGCGGTTGGCCCCGGATTGTGGAGATGGTTTATCCCAGCGCATCCCGAGGGTTTCGCTGGCTACTTGGACCACCACACAGAAGTGAGTGCCCCGGCTCATCCATGTGGTAACCCATGTACTGTAACCCTGAATTTCCGGGACCCGCCAGTGGCAAATCACTTCTTTCGGGGCAATACCCCGCCTTCAAGGGTCACTTGAGGGCCGAGGTTGCCGCTTTATTTCGAGTTTTAAAAGGGTGGATCGCTTGGTTGGCCACAGAGGTAGTACAGGAATGACTTGGTAAGCTATTCCAACTAAAATGTAATAGTTCCACTAAAATGTGTCTTGCTGTTACGCAGTTTGTTCAATTGTGCTCCAAAGGTCTTTTGTGAAGCGACCCCGAAACGGACATGGTCTCCTTTTCGTCTTTGGTTCAGCTGAAAGCTATGGCTTTTCTCTCTGCCCAGATCGGCTCTGGGGGCAGCATGGCCCTATGTCTTTCTGTCGTCTCCCAGCCTTTTTCCAGGGATCTTTTGGCAGACGAGTGTTCATTGCAACTTGTCACCGCTATGGGGAAAGTCGACAAAAAGGGAGGTCCTCTTTCCGAGATTGTTTGAAAATTGAAACCGAAGCTCACTTGCGGGGCGGGGGTGGTCCATGTCCCATTTGGAGATAGTAGCACTTGCTACACTTAAGTATCTCCGATAAAGGACATCTCCCCACCGTTTTGCCAGTCGGGAGTTGGAATTCAAGGAATTACTCGAACAAGAGTGGCACAAAAAGCGTAAATTCTCGCGAGCGCAGCCTTGTTGTTTAAAACCCCAAAACAAAGAGATGGCAAAATCCATCACCTGCAGCTGGGCCCTCTTGGAGAGGTCTCTGGCTTCAAGAACGAGCGCCTGAATCAGGCGCAAAGAGGGAGCTTCCGTGATTTTGTGCTGAGGTTCCCTATATTTCCCTAAAAGGTTTGTTTCGAACATCGTCTTTTAGGCCCTTTAAAGTGAGTTTCGTCTAGGTGATGTTTAAAGCGGAAATATGATTTCCCCCAAAAGGCATCCCATGGCGCACGTACTTTTTTATGGTCCATGGGTCCATGTCAAGCGTAGGCTGTCTTTTGATCAACTGGGTCGGGAGAGAAACAACTGGACGCAGGGTAAAATGCCTTTTCTGGCTTATTCCTGCATCATAGCGACACCTTTCGGGGATGCTGTATTGTCGGCCAAAGAGAGCGCAAGAGAGAGAGAGAGAGAGAGAGATAAAATAAATAGAGAAACAGGCAGGTGTGGAGAAGAGCAGGGATGGGAAGGTTATATCTTCTGGCTCGGGACACTTGAGAAAGGGTGTTCAAGTGAGGATTGCCTTCCTGGATGGGACAGATCTCGTTGAGGGCTTCCCTAGGCGTCATGCTGTCGACAGGCCTTCTGCGTGGATGAGAACTGCAGCTTGCACGATGCCCCTCTCTACTGGAGCGAGGAGACGCCCAGAAGGCCTCGGCCATAGGCTGTTTGTCATTGCTTGCCTAAAGAGATTCATCCAAAGTGGGGCAACCCATTCAAAGCATGGGAATCGGTTGACCTGTAGGGAAAGATTGGACAGCTGTTTGCATTGGACGAGCCCGGGGTTCGGGAGATGTTTCTCTTTATCTGAGCTCAAGTGACATGATGTTACATGTGAGGGGCGTGAAACACGAACCACAATCTAAAATTGGCTGCTATGTTTTAAGTCTAGCTATTGTCTCTTTTTTTTACGAGCCATAGTCAAAATTCGCCAGCTACCTAGCTCCATCTTTATGCTTTAGCATCTTTTCCTGAGAAGCGCGCCCTGTTTTACCTCTCAACAAAGACGTTGAACCAGAGGCCATGTATCTATCCCATCAGATGGGTTTAAATTTTGAGCCCTGGCAAGGTCTGAGGTTTGCGGTGACTGGTTTTTTGCCCTTCTAAAGCCACCTCAAGAGGCCATGTCAGTGTCCATCCCATTAGATGTTTTGATCTTCCTTTGGCTCCTATGTTGGAAGTTCCGGCGACCTCCTTTGCAGCAGTTATGAATCATGAAAGGGACCGGACACATTCAAGAGCAAAATCTGTCAAAACGTGTCCGAGAGCTCCCACGACAAAAAGAGACGGCCAATGACATGTGGCGCTACTGAAGGAGGGGCGGGGCCTTCTCTTCTCATGGACACTAGAGCCCTCCAAACTCACTAAGTGATTAGAAGCTCTGGGCGCAACTCACGGGGACTGGGCCTTTAACAGGTGCAAGTGGGTTATCATTCGGAACCTTGCCTGCTTCAGTTCGTCCGATGCTCGCTCAACTCCCTACAGAACCGGGGGGAATCGAATCCTGTTTTTTTCCATGTTTGTCAGGGTAGCTGCCTACCATTTTGCACCCTTGCTTATATGTGTTGTTTTTTAGAATAAACATGGTAGAGAGGCATGGCCATTTAAAGGGGTTCCATGACTCCATGAAGAATAGCATTTCTTCACTGTTGGTTTGCTCGTTGTTTTGTTGTTTTCGTTCTCTGGGCTTCAAAGAATACCAAGGGTTATAAATAAAGATTTGACAGCTCACACGAAGTTTTGGTCGCCAGGACACCCTGTACTTCATGTACAAGAGTGTCCGGGCGCCACGATGGAAGGGTTGGCCCCGGCTTCCCTGTTTTCAACTGTTCAACTGTTCAGGTTTGAAGATAGACGTGGCTGGAAATTACGTTCTTTGTCTCTACTTGCGAAGTAGCATGGTCAGTGGGACAGTTCCAGGGTTAGTTCATTAGAGCCATGGTGACTTAGGGCATGGATTGACACAGTTTCATGTCCTCTGCTTCTGGCCATGAGTTTTTGTCCAGGCAACCGGCATCAGATCGACCCATGGCCCAAATATTGAGATTTCAGGCATACCAAGGCAGTCTTACTGTAAGATCTCCGGCTGCCTCGTGGGCCTCCCGTACCAAAGCTGCGCCTTCTCCGGACTGCGGACTGCGACTCCCCGCAATGCGCGGCTTGCCATGTGCGTCTTGTGGTTGGACAGCATTCAAGGGTCCTCGAAATGCACGGCGGCGCCACTGAGCCTTATATGTATATATACATATATATATATACATATCTTGGTTAGTGAATTTAGGGTGGACCAAGTATGACGACAGCGTACCTGAGATGTGGGCCAAGTTGCCATGGCTAACATGTTGCGTCGGCTTGCCCTGCTTGCAGGTGGCAGCGCAGCGCTGGCGCATCAGCCCCAGTGTGGAGGCAGAGCTGAAGGTTTTGTTTTGCCCAAAAAGCTTAGTTCGAAACCAGGGCACTTAAAGGGCCGGGGTACTCAGTAAGTGGTTAGTAAGCCTGGTTATAACCCACTTACCATGGCTACAAGTCTCCTAAGTGGGCTTGAAGAGATTTACCTTTGGACCCAGAAAGTGGTTGCGATGTGTCAGCCCCAAGACGGGAGCTGATTGCTGCAAGCGCACGCCCAAAGGAGATCCTCTTCCAGAAGGAGCGTCCTTTCAACATAAGGGCTAGGTCCCCCAGTAGCGCCCTTTACCTTTTTTGGGGGAGGGTTGCCCTACTAAAATAGACTACAGAAACAAAAAAGAAGTCGGGTACCCTTATTCTAACCTCTCTACTGGAGGACCTAGAGGGCTTCTCGGCGCACAAAACCGAGTCCGACTTGGGTGAAGGAGCCTGTGGTCTACCAGCTCACCCAAGGGCATAGGGATCAGAGCTCATCCAACCTAGATGGTCCGGAAGAGAGTTGCCTAGTCAGCTTTGATCCAGCTCGTCCCCAGACTCAACCCTTTTGGTGGGTTACTGCCCATTTTGCGCTCCGACCATGTAAGCAGGAATCATCAATTCCAGGGTATGTTTGGGAGCCGAAGAGGGGCGTTGGGAGCGTTACTTTAGGCTCCTGTGATATGTTTTTGCTGACCCCTACTTTTCGGAAACTGCGCAGCGACAGGAGTGCAAATATAGACACCTTTGACAGTATTTGGTTCAATACCCTATAAACCGGTTGTAATTATTTAGGCCCTTGTTGTCCAACAACCAACAAACAGGTGGACCACCAATTGGGCTGCCATGTTCGGAGAGTTTGGTGCTTACAGGAAATGCAAAGGGATTGCACATATGTTCATGGGTTGGTGAAGTTTGACGGTCGCAAATGTACAGAGCTTACTGCATGGGCTAACTCTTTAAACACACAACATCATCAACAGGCAAAGAGTTTAAGCCCTTACACTACTGAGTCCGTTACAGCGACTTGTGCCAATTTAACCTCTAAGTGGTGGTTGCAGGGGAAACCGCCCAAAAAAGACACCACGTCACACGCAGGCACCTACACAGGGATATGACATGGGAGGATTGCCCCTGACAAGCATCTAAACATAGTTTGAACAGGGAATCCCACATCCTCCACATGCCTAGTGCAAGTAACTAGTACCGAGGGCAACAAACAACACATTACTTGGCAACGTGACCCGTAGCTAACCCCACTCCAACTATTGAGGCCCAATGGGTACGTGTCGCAGGGATACCAACCTTCAAACCAAGGTGAAAAAGGGTACCTAGCCTCAAAAACGACACCCATACGGACGAATTCCTGCTCCTTTAAATTAACTCCTGGAATAATAGTTCCCCTGTAAATGCCAACAAACCATGGCTTCCGCCTGGTTTCTTAGGTGGTGCGACATGGAATGCGTCCATCCACACTATTGGTAGGTGAATTCACCACCCATGATAGAACCTATTTTAGTGGTTGGATTGAATCGGATGTTCACTGGCTAACCGGGGTTTTGACCCATGGCCATGTAATTAAATTGGTTAACAAGGACTTTGGACCATAGTAAGTTTCAAAGGGTTCAGCCCCCATGAAGTGTATCCTCCCCCCAACCATGACTCGCCAGCAGACTGTCGCCGGGATGGGCGTGGGGGCCGGTGGCCAGGATCAGCGGCAGCTGCTCTATGCGGTGCGCTGGGGTGCGGAGCCTGCGGTGGCCCGGGAGGAGCAGGCGAGAGGCTGAAGCGCTTTTTGGGAGAGGAGCCATGGGCGCTTGGTGGCCTGGAGCCTTTGGCTTCGGTTTTGGGAGGGGAGCCCTTCATTTTCTGGTAGTGGTTTGGAGGTGGTTTTGTGGTTAAGGAGGGTTTTGGACGTGGCTTGGTGGCTTGGAGCCTGTGGCTTCGGTTGTTGGAGGGGAGCCTCACTTCCTGAGTAGTGGTTTTGTGGTTAAGGAGGGGTTTGGGCGTGGCTAGGTGGCTTGGAGCCTTTGGCTTCGGTTTTTGGAGGGGGGCCTCACTGTTTTGTGGTGAAGGAGGGTTTTGGGCGTGGCTTGGTGGCTTGGAGCCTTTGGCTTCGGTTTTGGGAGGGGAGCCCTTCATTTTCTGGTAGTGGTTTGGAGGTGGTTTTGTGGTTAAGGAGGGTTTTGGACGTGGCTTGGTGGCTTGGAGCCTGTGGCTTCGGTTGTTGGAGGGGAGCCTCACTTCCTGAGTAGTGGTTTTGTGGTTAAGGAGGGGTTTGGGCGTGGCTAGGTGGCCTGGAGCCTTTGGCTTCGGTTTTGGGAGGGGAGCCCTTCATTTTCTGGTAGTGGTTTGGAGGTGGTTTTGTGGTTAAGGAGGGTTTTGGACGTGGCTTGGTGGCTTGGAGCCTGTGGCTTCGGTTGTTGGAGGGGAGCCTCACTTCCTGAGTAGTGGTTTTGTGGTTAAGGAGGGGTTTGGGCGTGGCTAGGTGGCTTGGAGCCTTTGGCTTCGGTTTTTGGAGGGGGGCCTCACTGTTTTGTGGTGAAGGAGGGTTTTGGGCGTGGCTTGGTGGCTTGGAGCCTTTGGCTTCGGTTTTGGGAGGGGAGCCCTTCATTTTCTGGTAGTGGTTTGGAGGTGGTTTTGTGGTTAAGGAGGGTTTTGGACGTGGCTTGGTGGCTTGGAGCCTGTGGCTTCGGTTGTTGGAGGGGAGCCTCACTTCCTGAGTAGTGGTTTTGTGGTTAAGGAGGGGTTTGGGCGTGGCTAGGTGGCTTGGAGCCTTTGGCTTCGGTTTTTGGAGGGGGGCCTCACTGTTTTGTGGTGAAGGAGGGTTTTGGGCGTGGCTTGGTGGCTTGGAGCCTTTGGCTTCGGTTTTGGGAGGGGAGCCCTTCATTTTCTGGTAGTGGTTTGGAGGTGGTTTTGTGGTTAAGGAGGGTTTTGGGCGTGGCTCGGTGGCTTGGAGCCTTTGGCTTCGGTTTTTGGAGGGGGGCCTCACTGTTTTGTGGTGAAGGAGGGTTTTGGGCGTGGCTTGGTGGCTTGGAGCCTTTGGCTTCGGTCTTTGGAGGGGAGCTTCACTTCCTGAGTAGTGGTTTTGTGGTTAAGGAGGGTTTTGGGCGTGGCTCGGTGGCTTGGAGCCTTTGGCTTCGGTTTTTGGAGGGGAGCCTCACTTCCTGAGTAGGGGTTTTGTGGTTAAGGAGGGTTTTGGGCGTGGCTCGGTGGCTTGGAGCCTTTGGCTGCGGTTTTTGGAGGAGAGCTTGACTTCCTGAGTAGGGGTTTTGTGGTTAAGGAGGGTTTTGGGCGTGGCTTGGTGGCTTGGAGCCTTTGGCTTCGGTTTTTGGAGGGAAGCCTCACTTCCTGAGTAGTGGTTTTGTGGTTAAGGAGGGTCTTGGGCGTGGCTTGGTGGCTTGGAGCCTTTGGCTTCGGTCTTTGGAGGGAAGCCTCACTTCCTGAGTAGTGGTTTTGTGGTGAAGGAGGGTTTTGGGCGTGGCTCGGTGGCTTGGAGCCTTTGGCTGCGGTTTTTGGAGGGGAGCTTGACTTCCTGAGCCTTTGGCTTCGTTTTTGGGAGGGGAGCCTCACTTCCTGAGTAGTGGTTTTGTGGTTAAGGAGGGTTGGCGTGGCTTGGTGGCTTGGAGCCTTTGGCTTCGGTTTTTGGAGGGGAGCCTCACTTCCTGAGTAGTGGTTTTGTGGTTAAGGAGGGTGGCTTGGAGCCTGTGGCTGCGGTTTTTGGAGGGGAGCTTGACTTCCTGAGTAGGGCTTTTGTGGTTAAGGAGGGTTTTGGGCGTGGCTCGGTGGCTTGGAGCCTTTGGCTTCGTTTTTGGGAGGGGAGCCTCACTTCCTGAGTAGTGGTTTTGTGGTTAAGGAGGGTTGGCGTGGCTTGGTGGCTTGGAGCCTTTGGCTTCGGTTTTTGGAGGGGAGCCTCACTTCCTGAGTAGTGGTTTCGTGGTTAAGGAGGGTGGCTTGGAGCCTGTGGCTTCGGTTTTTGGAGGGGAGCCTCACTTCCTGAGTAGTGGTTTTGTGGTTAAGGAGGGTTTTGGGCGTGGCTTGGTGGCTTGGAGCCTTTGGCTTCGTTTTTGGGAGGGGAGCCTCACTTCCTGAGTAGTGGTTTTGTGGTTAGGGAGGGCGAACCGGAGCCTCAGTTCCTGAGTGGTTTGGAGCTGGTGGAGCCGAATCGGTGGTTTGGTGGTCATGGAGGGGTAGACCCCAACTTGTTTACCCTCTACAAGGATCAGGGGTTCAAGTCCGCACTCAAAATCCAAACCACCAACTAGGGATTACCTGATCACTCCCGGAATGCCTGTTTTGGGCTTTGGTCACTTTTTGGAAAGACCAAGTGGTAAATCAGCAGCTTGGTTACGTTTCTTGGCCAGAAAGCGAGTAGCCATTTTGGGTGTGGCGCTTTGCTTCCATTTGTTTTTTGGTTGTGTTTTGTCAGTTTAGTGGTCGTTGTCATTTAACCCACAAGTTAAACGCTTTTACTTCCATTAATTGACAATAACAATCGCTGTCGTATGGTAGCTTCCCCTTTGGTATGATGGCATATATTTTACTTGTTTAATTCTGTTCATTGTTAGTGGGAGGGGGCTGCACACCTTCCATTTGCTGAAATGCATATTCTTTATTTTCCCGTGTTTAGCTTTAAAGGGAATCTATCACTGGTGGAAATATGTTATCATTTGTTCAGGGGGAAGATGGGGGTTGGCTTGTTTTCTCGAGGCTCGCCACTGTAAAGGCATGGCTTGGGAAACCATTTCTTGAGGCAGTCCTAATTTGACACACTCAATGGAGCAACGCTCACAACCAGTCCATTTTGGATGTGCGTCCTCCCTTCCAATTTTGGAGCCCCTTCGGAGAACGAGTTTGACATAGGGAACTGAGCCCAATTGTCGAAAACTGGGTCTCCGCCTTAAACATATGTGATCTTTGTTTGGCGGAACATGGAGGGGAAGCTTTTGGTGTAACCCAGAGTCTGGCGGAGAACCGAGGCCAGTTTGGAAGGTTCTACGACTTGGTATCATTTCATTGGGGTTATAGCCCGCCTCCGTAAACGTTTGCCATGTTGGTAGAAGCAAATGCCAATGGGTTTTGGCTTGCAGCTAGCAGCAAGCGCAGTAAGGATATGCGTGGCTTGCTCTATGCCAAGAAGGTAACATCACCCCTGTGAGACTGTTGTGCCGTTTCTGGCTGCGCACCAAGTCGGAAAAGATGGGCTCAGTGTTGGCTCGACAGTGTTCTTCTCCAATTTTCAGTCAGACAGGGGACGCTGAGCAGTGTCATGTCCGGCTCGGAAGATGACCTTCCATTTGTTTAAGAATATTTCCCCTGTTGGTTTGAAAAGGAATCGATCACTACTGGAAATATTGTGTTTTTCATGTTTTCCAGGGGGCTTAAGCAATTGGAAGATGACCGTTCACTTCTTGTGTCTTCAGTCAGCCGAAGGGCACCCGCCTCGAGGGGCAAGCTTCAGCCATAGATTTGCGGGCCGTAGTGGCGCCTTGCCCAACGAATTAAGAGCTGAAGCAGCTTGCAGGACACCTCGTGTGCTATAAGATATGCATGAGTCCTTCTATTTCCCTGTTTGGTGATTCAACCATTACCACCTTTTGGGGCATGCTTCAATCAGTTTGCTTTTGCTAGGGTGATGTTTAATTGGGCCGTATATCGATGTATGTCCGGGCGACCTTTGATTTGTCCTTGTTTCTCGTTGGTGAATTGCAGTGATTAGTTTGCCCAGGTCAATGTGGTTTGGAAATGAAGGGATATCCAAACCAGTGAAGGTTCAGCTCGGTGTCATTCCAACTTTTTCTGTGCCTATCAAACCAGCGAGCATTGTCCCTTGCCTGTTTAAAGGGGATCCATCACTACTGAAGATATTTTTGCATTTTTGTCTGAGGGCGGAAGAAAGCAACTGGCCGTGGGTCAAAACCAATGGTACCATTTGGGGGGTAGGTGAATTCAACACACATTTTAGACCCTATTTGAGTGGTTGGATTGGGATGTTTACTGGGGGTACGGGCTTTGGATTTTGACCCATGGCCAACTGGAAGACGTGGAAGCTGCCCAAGCCACAAGGAAAACGAAAACCCGAGTGGCCATGTGATTTCGCTAGGAAGGCTGGCAAGAGCTTGGCCTGGCCGGTACGTGGGCTGCGGTGGATGTGCAGCCGGGGCTCCAAAGATGCAAAGTTTGGGCTGGGCAAAGTATTCTGCACTCTTCTGGGGATCAAGTTGTTTTTGGGTGGTCGGTTCTGTTAAAGTAGTTCTTGGATAGTTCTTGGATCAAGTTCTTTTTTGTGTTCGGTTCTGTTCATTTTTGGTTTTTGGCTGCAAAAGTAGTTGTTTTTTGCTGCCATACCAAGGGTTCTGAAGTATTGGCCGGAATCTGAACATATATATATATATATATATATGGGTTTGTCTTTTTTTGGTGTGTTGAGTTGCTTCAAAAGGCAGAAGGTGGGACCTCCCCGAATCATACCCCCGAATCATACCCCCGAATCATACCCCCGAATCATACCCCGAATCATACCCCCGAATCATACCCCTTAAAACGTATGCTGCAAGATGCTACTGTTCTTCTACCGTTTTGTGTTGTTCACTGCCTCCACAACAACCACCACCAGCGCTACCCAATACTACCACTACCACTACCACTACTACTACTACTACTACTACTACTACTACTACTACTACTACTACTACTACTCCAATTACTACTACTACTGCTACTACCACTACTACTACTACTGCTACTACCGCGACAACGAGTATTACTACCACTACCACCGCTTCTGCTTCTACTTCTGCTTCTGCTACCCTTACTACTAGCTACTACTACTACTACTACTACTACTACTACTACTACTACTACTTCTACTACTACTACTACTACTACTACTACTACTACTACTACTACTATTCCTGCTGCTGCTGCTACTACTCACTACTACTACATACATCATTCTGAGTCTATAATCAGTGCCGTTTTGCACCTAGCCGAATCATACCCGCGAATCATACCCGAAACATACCCGGACAATGAGCTTCCCCTGCCAAGGCAAGTGCCAAGTCTTTTTCAAAGCGTCCGCACCACTACAGCCGCTGCTGCTTATGCTACAGCTGCTACCACTACTTCTGCAACTGCTACTACTACCACTACTACTGCTACTACTACTACTACTACTACCACAGCTACTACTACATTCCATCATTCTGAGTTTGTAATCAGTGCCGTTTTGCACCTAGCCGAATCATACCCGCGAATCATACCCGAATCATACCCGTGCCAAGGCCAGCGCCAAGTCTTTTCAAAGCTTCCGCGGCACTACAGTCGCTGCTTCTACTGTTACTACTACTACTACGACTACTACTACTACTACTGCTGCTACTGCTACTGCTACTGCTACTGCTACTACTACTACTACTACTATTAGTACTATTGTTACTACTACAATATTACTACTAGTACTACTACTTCGACGACTACTGCTACTACTACTACTGCTGCTGCTGCTGCTGCTTCCGCAAATCATACCCCCGAATCATACCCCGAATCATACCCGCGAATCATACCCGAATCATACCCGCGCAATGAACTTGCCTTGCCAAGGCCAGCGCCAAGTCTTTTCAAAGCTTCCGCGCCACTACAGTCGCTGCTTCTACTGTTACTACTACTACTACTACTACTACTACTACTACTACTACTACTACTACTACTGATATTACTACTACAATATTGCTACTACTACTACTACTACTACTCCTACTACTACGAGAACTACTAGCTACTACTACTACTACTACTACTACTACTACTACTACTACTACTACTACTACTACTACTACTACTACTACCTACTGCTACTGCTACTGCTACTGCTACTGCTACTACTACTACTACTACTACTATTAGTACTATTATTACTACTACAATATTACTACTAGTACTACTACTTCGACGACTACTGCTACTACTACTACTACTGCTGCTGCTGCTTTCGCGAATCATACCCCCGAATCATACCCCGAATCATACCCGCGAATCATACCTGCGAATCATACCCCGTACTCAAACCTTCCTGCCCGGCCCCCGTAAAAAATACAAACCCATATATATGTATTTATAAATTGGGTGTGCCCTAGATTTGAGCACTGGTGTTCGAGTGTTCAAGGGTCATGTCCATTTCAGCAAATGTTCCTTGAATCAGCTACACAAGTGTCCTTTCAGATTTCAGTTTGACTCCACTGCTTTCAGTTCGTTTGCATTTTGCCCGGTGAAATCCATCTTCATGCTTATCCTTTCCACCCGGACACCTAGGGTCGCTCTTTGTACTGGGAGCATACTCCCCTCGCCGCCGCATTGTCAACAAATGGAGCTCTTTTGGATCACCCTGCAGTTTGGCCCATCGTTCAAACAAGGCAGCTGAAACCCAAAAGCAGGCGCCGGTCAAGGGTCTGACCGATCCCCTGCCTCCAAAAGAGGCCCAGCCTCAAAAGGTCTTTTTGTTGTGGCTTCGAACTTCGGACAACAAAACTATCTCCCCAATAAACTAATGGATCACAAGGATGCCCCCCATTTTTGGTGGTCCTTTTGGTGACCAAGAACGCAAAACCTTAAAGGGTACCCTCAACTTCCGTTTCTCTTAAGCATATATGTCAATCCAAAGAGAGAACCTACCACTGGACAGATATTTATTAACTTTGGGAGACTTGTCATATCTTAACTTTCCTGAACAGATGCGGAAGAAAACAACAAAACCCAAAAAACACACACAAAAAAAAACGCCTGCCAAAAAAAAGAGAGCACCCCAACTTGGAGAAACCGTTTATCACGTGACCCACCTGCCACCTGCGGCCTGGCCGCGCCCGAGGTGCATCTGCCTCTTCGAGGACCAGGTGGGCGATACCCGGCAGCCTCAGACGCCCCCGGAGTAAAGAGAGCGCTCGGCGCGGCTGGGGTTGGGGTGGGGGGTGGTTGGGGGTGGTTGGGGTCGTTGGGATTGGTTGGGGGTGGTTGGGGTCGTTGGGATTGGTTGCGGTCGTTGGGATTGGTTGGGGGTGGTTGGGGGTGGATTGGGTTGGGGGTGGTTGGGGCTGGTTGGTGGCTTTTGCGGCCATATGCGGCCATGTGGAATCAACTCCTCAATGGAATTGGGGAGGGGGGGAACCCTGGAGATCTCCATTTATCGTAACCCAGTTCCTTTGGGAATACTAGAGAAATGAAATTGGGGACGCCCTGCCCCCCTCCCCCCTCCCCCAGAAGGTTGGGGGATGCTGTGTGAAGGTTGCAAAGTCTGTTCGCGGCTCGCCATGATAAAGATCCTTTCCTTGGGGATCCCAATCTCATTTCAGGTTTTGGACATATGGTATGCTTTAAGATTGTTTGGAATTTACAGGGATCTTAGGTGGTGCGAAACGGATTTCGTCCAACAGTAGGTTTCCTTTTGATCGGTAAATCGATGGGTTCCACTGGTGATTGATGTTATAAATGGGAAACCTACCTAAAACGTTTTGCCAGCAGACCGCAGGTTTTAGTCCTTTCCATTTACCAGGGCAAGCTGTTTGTTTTGCCTTTTTTTGACCCACACCCATATGGGTCTGTCGTTTTTTGAGGGTACACCTTTTTGGGTTTTCCTCCATGCGATGCGCGACCCTATCGGGTAACCAGAAGCAGGTTCGGATTGGTGGGAATCACACCCGAGTTCCTTTTTAAATCAAGTGAAGGTGCCCACCAAAGTCCAACCCAGCGCATCAGGCGCCAGAAAAGGGATACGTCCCAAGAGAGGAGCCCTTTCCAAGTCGACCCTTGACCTTTTGCCTGCATTACGCCAACGGCCTAAGACCATTCCGAAGAAACTTCCTTAGTTGGAACACACACGAGTTCTGAGTTGATAAAACCTGGAAATCTGAGGTGATCTTTTCCTCAAGCAACTCATGGGAGAAGACAGCCCGCTCAGATCCGGTCGTTCTTGCGCCTATTTTCAGGCAGAGGCGACCCCAAAAATCAGGGGGTCGCTTTATCCAATTTCCAGCTGATCTCTTTCGGGTTGGGCGTTTCTCACCCACAAAGGGAGGGTGTAGCATGGTGTAACTAATCTTAGGAGACAACAAAATCCATTTTAGGCGGGCCCTTTCTGAATGCCCTTGATTCTTGTTGGGGGGTTGCGACAGTTTCCAACCAATCCTGTAGCACAGCTGTTGACCCAGGTGAAGACTCAAAACCGCTTCCAGTTACCCACATTTACCAATCCAAATGGGTCAAGTCTTGGAAATTACATGGATTGTGCCGGGAGTTCGGGCACTGTCACCTTGCCACTGCCTTCCGTGCCGGTCATGGCTCAGCCTCAGCGCTGTTTTCCCATGTCGCATGTCGGCGCGGGGAACTCTGCGAGTGACCCCACCGTGGTCTGCGAATGACGCGAAGTGGCGATGCGGCTTTGGAGCTTCGGCCGCCGGCCTCAGGTTGGCTTGGGCGATTCGATGTGTTTTCGCCACAATAGAGGACCACTACAACGGTAAAACTAACCACCACCACCACCACCACCGCCCGCCCGCCCGCCCGCCCGCCCGCCCGCCCGCCCGCCCACCCACCCACCCACCCACTTGCGTGACCTATGCCACATCCGACGTGACCATCAAGACCCACTGCGAGGACGAGCTCACCCACCCACCCACCCACCCACCCACCCGCCCGCCCACCCACCCACCCACCCACCCACCCACCCACTTGCGTGACCTATGCCACATCTGACGTGACCATCAAGACCCACTGCGAGGACGAGCCCACCCACCCACCCACCCACCCACCCACCCACCCACCCAACCACCCAACCACCCAACCACCCAACCACCCAACCACCCAACCACCCAACCACCCAACCACCCAACCACCCACCCACCACCACCCAACCACCCAACCACCCAACCACCCAACCACCCAACCACCCAACCACCCAACCACCCAACCACCCAACCACCCAACCACACCCAACCACCCAACCACCCAACCACCCAACCACCCAACCACCCAACCACCCAACCACCCAACCACCCAACCACCCAACCACCCAACCACTCCAACCACCCAACCACCCAACCACCCAACCACCCAACCACCCAACCACCCAACCACCCAACCACCCAACCACCCAACCACCCAACCACCCAACCACCCAACCACCCAACCACCCAACCACCCAACCACCCAACCACCCAACCACCCAACCACCCAACCACCCAACCACCCAACCACCCAACCACCCAACCACCCAACCACCCAACCACCCAACCACCCAACCACCCAACCACCCAACCACCCAACCACCCAACCACCCAATCACCCTCCACCCTCACCCACCACCACCACCACCAGCAGCAGCACCACCACTCCTGCGAACGAATGGAGCCGGGTACGGGGTCCAGGAGTTTCACTTGAAAACCAGCTGTGCTTGAGGGCGAGCTTGGCACAAGACCCCGACGCCGGGGCTTACAAAGTCCAGATAGGCTTGCTAGCCCTGCGCGGGCGGTATTTGTGCCTTGTGAGGCTCTGGAGCAAATTGTGCGGGCAAAGTTTCAATTGAGAAAAGGCCGGACATATGCTAGCCCACCCAATGGCTGTTGAACGGCCCTCAAATCTCGAAGCAACTGAACTTAACAACCAACTGATAGCCGTGGGGGAGGGGTTTCCTGGTACGGAAACCCCATGTAACCTTCAGGGGGCACGACCCCGCTTTACCTTCAGCTCATCTCGTGTGGTTCCCTTGTTCATGAGTAACTGACAATAGTCCTCCACGCTTCCCAACAATCATTGAATTGGACAGAGTCCGTAAGAGGACCACAGTCTTTCAACGTTCTGTCAGTTTCCATAACTGTTGGAAAGAGGGAAGATGACCGCGCCCAATGTTCTGTCGAACAAGTCCAGGGGCTAAAGACTGGCGCCCATGATCCGATGTCCTTTTGGGAAACGTGGGTCAAAGGGTCTCCAATTTCTCAGCTCATACAAGTGCCCTTTTCTTTGTACAACGATTCTTAGCCATTGATCCCTTGGGGATGGAAACCGGGAGCCAAAAGGAAACCATCCATTTCCAAGAAGCCCCCCCGAAGTTCACAGTCCGAATCATCTCACTTGCCCAACGCCGGCCTTTTGGCCTTTTGCCTTTTGGTCCATTCGGCCCCTTTAAAGGTTAACCTTTCATTTCTGGGTCCTTTCGGCAACTGAGTTATGCATTCGAAACCTGGGTATCCTTACGTAGGTGTGAATGGGTGGTTCATGGTCACCACCTGTTTTCTAAGGCTTCTTTGCACTGCTGGCGGCCGAACGCCTGCCCCTCGATGAGGCAGGGTGAGAGTTTGGCTTTCCTGCGGTTATGGCGCGAAAGCAAGTTGTCACCTCGCATTGTCTAATGTCTTTTTTCAATACAGTCAGAGCTGGGAATTGCGGTAATTTTCCCAGATTAATTGGACCCTTGGGTACCCTCAAGATCAGACACAGCCGAGGTCTGAATTTGAGCTGGTACCTCCGAATGAATCCGAAGCCGACATTCCAACCTTCCCTTGCTGGTCCCCAGCCATCCGGTTGCTTAGCTTCTTAGTTGTTTTGAATTGGTTCAGTGGATTGCTTTCGGAATTTACCCCACAAGTTGAACAAATCTTGTACTTCCATTTTTTTTGGTTTCCCCTTGGCTTTCAAGGGAATCTATCACTGGACATATGTTCTCATCTGTTTCAGTTCAAACATTTTACCAGGGGATCTGATCACCTTCGGGTTGCTCGCTGCTCTGCACTCGGAAGCCATTGATCGTATCAAGGCTAACATGGGGCATCTGCTATGTTAGGCTCATGAAATATTAGGGGGGGGGCTCGTCCTTTTTTAGGGTACCCCCCCCACAAAAAGTAAAAACGGCTGGTTTCCTTTTGGTGGCCCTGTGAACCAACCAAGAAAAGGCACCCTCAAAAAGAGACAGACCCATACGGGTCAGAAATGGGAGCTGCATCAGCAAACGCAGAGGTAGAGAACCCAGAATCATATTGGGGGGGGGCATCCCTTTTAGAGCGAAGCCCTCACATCAATTTCCTCCGCCAGCTGATTTCTCGACATGATTTGTGCGTAGCTTTCACATCCCTTCCATCCCACTGAGTTACAATTTGGGTCGATTCCACGGGCCTTCCCGCGCAGTTTCTCACCCAAGGGTGCCTTCATGTTAACTTCAGGTCAATACGAGGGGCGACATAAGCAACTGATTCTGGTGTTTCGAGTCCTCCGCAACAATAATTTGGAGCCTCACAGTCTGGAGGACTCGATAAGGTCCCCAAATGGATCATTTCCCTGAAGGGGAGCGGTCCCATGTTGCCAACTCCATGAGCCGCAGAGTGTCAGTTGCCTCAGTTCCCTTTGGCAACAAGCGGGGCTTTCGGAGTGTTTCACAGGTGGGTGATTTAGGCATGTCTTTCTTTTAAGGGTACCCCCAAAATAATGATATTCCCTTCGGTTCCTGGTGGAACAGCTACGAGCAGGGGGAAAAACAAATCGTCCATCCGGGGATGGTTGCAAGGCCGGGGGTACGGGGCATGTCTCAAAGGAACTCCCAAAGATGACAGGTTTCCACCCAGAAAGGGTACCTGCAACAGGCTTGCAAGCCTGTTTGCTGTGATAGTGCAATCACTCAAATTTTGCCAGTCTTACCAAGGGCCACCCCCCCAACCCTCACACTCCCCCACCCTCCCCAAAACTCGGCTTCAGCTTTCGCCACGGCGTGTTTGACAAGTCCTCAGGCTGTGAAAACCGATGTAACCATTTCCCCCCGCCTCGTCTCGCAGGAGCTGGGGAGCTCTTTGGTGCAGCAGGCGCATGGGATGAGATTCGCAGTGGGAGCCACACCGTTTTGGCCAAGGACCAAGCGGCATCAACCTCTGTTCGCTATGTTCAATTTCCGCAAGATCCTTCGGCCTATGTTATAAAACGAGCTCACCGATTCGGGGGTATAGCGAGCTCACCATGACAAAGGTCCTTGGCTTGGGGATCTCTTAATTCAGCTTTTGGAATTATTGTAAAATTTGTAGAATCCTTAAGCTGAGTTACGGAGGGATTTGGCCCCCTTGTAGTGGCTTTCCACTGATTGTGGATTAGGATTGGCCAACGCCCCATTTTGAACAGCCCGGTTTGGCTCTGGTGGCTCTGAAACCATATTGCACATGAGGCAGTTGGGAGAGAAAGTGCGGCTGCCAGTCACTTTGGGCGGTGACGATGTCTACCCCCCCTTCCCATGAGTTTCAAAACCCTTCTCTCGTCTATATGGACACGAGCCACGGGAAGATCATAGTCTATGGTTCTCGGCCTTGAGAAAAGCCGTTGCCCTCCTTGCAATGGCGGTGAAACAATATATTAGCAAGTGTCCACGGTCATCCAGTCATCCATGTACAGGGGGTGACATGGGGCACACTCACCAAATCACCGATAGCAAATAGGAGATTACTCACCAACTTCCCATGCCAGGTGGGAACACCATGAAACTTGACCGTCTCTCGCATGCCGTTTTGTTAGAATTTCCAGTAGGCCACGTTCAATTTGAGAACTAAAATCCCCCAAGTCCCAGCGGAACACTCTATTTTCCCATGTCGCTTGTCCGGTACCCTCCCACCCGCAACATGGAAGTGCACAAAGCCCCTTTCTAAGAGGAAAGTAGTCTTTCTACAGGGCGTCGGTGCACTTCCATGTTAGCTGGTGGGAGAGTAGTTGCTCTTTGGTATGGGGGTGTTTGCACCATAGCCTTTGGTAGTGCTTTTCTACCCGCTATGCACCTACTCTCTGTAACATGATCCGGGTCTGGGGTGGGGTGGATGGGGGGCTTGTGAACAGCGGCCTTGGGTATACACAATATATTAATATATATATATATATAATACACATACAGATAGAGATGTAGAACATCTTACGCTTACAACGGGATGGATGGCGGGTGGTTAATAGACCCAAACCCTCAACAGTTCGCATGGGGTTTAACAGACACATGGGTGTGTCGCAACATCTGGGGTCACCCCCCAAACTGATTGGTTCCTTTTGGTTGGCATTAGCACGACGACAACAACGGGTTGCGCCAAGCCCACCACACCTTACAAACCAACCCTGACCCTTGAACAACACCTAGCCTCCAGCCCTGTCCATGCTTCAAACCCTCACCCTGGATGAAAACCGCCACCCTGCGACCTAGGCCTCAGTGCCGGAGGTGAAGCGAAAAGCGCAGCCAGGCAATCCCGGCGGCTGAGACCTCAGCGAGAAGGGACCGTCCATACACCCTTTTGATTTGATTTTTGGGGAGGGGAGGGGTGGGAAGACTCGAAAAATGGAATGGGAGAACCCCACGCCACCGTTCGACGATTCACATAAGTTCCGCCCCTTTTGAAGCTTGGCTGAGTCCTTTTGTCGTCAAGTCAACCTCAAAGTGCCCATTGTAGAGGGTGATCCCTTTTCAGGAATCCTGTTAGGTGTGCGAGAAAACGCACCTTAGACAAGCCTGGAAGAGAAAACGGGGCAACTCAACCCTGGAACCGTAGACTGGACATGACCAGAGCTGACATCTGCGCGAGTCTACAAACTCGCGAGGTTCTGCAAGGTCAAGATGTTCAATGGCACCGATGCAATGACGCGCAAAGGCAACATCAAGCTGTGCATACTGAGCATCTCAATTGCTAGGATTTTAGTTGTTTGATTCTGTTCATTGTTAGTTGGGGGCTACCAGCCACCATCAAAACCCCGTGTAATTGGAGGGTAAGGGACAATGCCGGTCATAAATGGGCGTGTGGTCGCCTTGTTCATTCTTTACATGATTCCGGTCGACCGTTTTAATCCCGGGTGGTTTTTTGCTACCATACCAAAACTGGTTGGTTTCCTTTTGGTTTTCTCTTGAACCCGCCAAAGAATGGGTACCCTCAAAAAACTGACATTCATATTTGCCCAGGAACCGGCCCCATTTTTGGAGAATGATCTTGCAGCCCCTGTCCAGGGTCTACGTTTTTTTTCCTTGGGAGAAGTTGGTAGCAATGGGGTTTCTCAGGATTTCTATTGGATGATTTTTCCTATGTCCCATGTTTCCTAAGGATTTCTATGTTCTATGTGTTTTTCCTAAGGATTCCGATTGGACCATGGTCCACGGAGTCCTGACCCAGGTGGCTGTGATCTTCCCCCGGGGAAGATTTGCTTCATCGTACGCCGGGAGTCCCAGAGGGGGGTTTTGAGTGGAACTCATTCCATTGCCGGCCCTGAAGAATTGTTTTTTGCTCAGGGTGTTTGGGTTGCCGGGTCTGAATATGGGTGTGTCTCAAAATTTGGGACCCCTCCAAAAAGAATGGTTGGTTTGCTTGTGGCTTCCTGCAAGTAATCCAAACACGGCTCCCTATTTGGAGACAGACCCATATGTTTGCCGATTGTACCCTTTTTGGGCTTGGCTCAAAGGGAACTCAAAGGCTGCTCTTTATCGGACAACATGTGTGTTCTGTGGATGAACTCTGCTGAAACACGTTGTGATATGTGACGGTATGTGTTTCGGGTTCGCAAGACAAAGAGCTGGGCTGCTGTTTGACATCACCATCTTTCATCCGAGATGAAGGCTGCCCCAAGAAGTGTCACATCCTGTCAGCGGTGGACTCAAGGTAGGCCAGGAGAATCCGTGTGCTGCGTGTCACACGGATGCTCGCTTGGCCTTCCAATGACACCCTCATGTTGCTAGAAACTTTAGAGCCTCCGGCTCAGTCCGCCGACATTGTCCTCTCCCTTTTCTCCGTCTTCCTCTCTTCCTTGTCTCCCTTGTGTGTTCTGTCGTCCTCTCTCCCTCCCTCTGCTCCCATCCTCCCCATCCCCCCAAGCCTCTCTCTCCCCAATCTCCCTCTCTCGTATGTATGCATGCATGTACGTTGTATGTATGTATGTATGTATGTATGTATGTAATGTAATGTAATGTAAATGTAATGTAATGTAATGTAATGTAATGTAATTGTGTATGTAATGTAATGTAATGTAATGTAATGTAATGTAATGTAATGTAATGTAATGTAATGTAAGGTGTAATGTATGTATGTATGTATGTATGTATGTATGTATGTATGTATGTATGTATGTATGTATGTATGTATGTATGTATGTATGTATGTATGTATGTATGTATGTATGTATGTATGTATGTATGTATGTATGTATGTATGTATGTATGTATGTATGTATGTATGTATGTATGTATGTATGTATGTATGTATGTATGTATGTATGTATGTATGTATGTATGTATGTATGTATGTATGTATGTATGTATGTATGTATGTATGTATGTATGTATGTATGTATGTATGTATGTATGTATGTATGTATGTATGTATGTATGTATGTATGTATGTATGTATGTATGTATGTATGTATGTATGTATGTATGTATGTATGTATGTATGTATGTATGTATGTATGTATGTATGTATGTATGTATGTATGTATGTATGTATGTATGTATGTATGTATGTATGTATGTATGTATGTATGTATGTATGTATGTATGTATGTATGTATGTAATGTATGTATGTATGTATGTATGTATGTATGTATGTATGTATGTATGTATGTATGTATGTATGTATGTATGTATGTATGTATGTATGTATGTATGTATGTATGTATGTATGTATGTATGTATGTATGTATGTATGTATGTATGTATGTATGTATGTATGTAATGTATGTATGTATGTATGTATGTATGTATGTATGTATGTATGTATGTATGTATGTATGTATGTATGTATGTATGTATGTATGTATGTATGTATGTATGTATGTATGTATGTATGTATGTATGTATGTATGTATGTATGTATGTATGTATGTATGTATGTATGTATGTAATCTATGTATGTATGTATGTATGTATGTATGTATGTATGTATGTATGTATGTATGTATGTATGTATGTATGTATGTATGTATGTATGTATGTATGTATGTATGTATGTATGTATGTATGTATGTATGTATGTATGTATGTATGTATGTATGTATGTATGTATGTATGTATGTATGTATGTATGTATGTAATGTAATGTAATGTAATGTAATGTAATGTAATGTAATGTAATGTAATGTAATGTATGTATGTATGTATGTATGTATGTATGTAATGTATGTATGTATGTATGTATGTATGTGATGTAATGTAATGTAATGTAATGTAATGTAATGTAATGTATGTATGTATGTATGTATGTATGTAATGTAATGTAATGTAATGTAATGTAATGTAATGTAATGTAATGTAATGTAATGTAATGTAATGTAATGTAATGTAATGTAATGTATGTATGTATGTATGTATGTATGTATGTAATGTATGTATGTATGTATGTACGTATGTAGGTATGTATGTAGTGCATGTATGTATGTATGTATGTATGCATGCATGCATGTATGTATGTATCTATGTATGTATGTAATGTATGTATGAAATATATGTATGTATGCATGCATGCATGCATGTATGTATGTATGAATGTATGTTATGTATGTATGTATGTATGCATGTATGTATGCATGTATGTATGCATGTATGCATGTATGTAAGTAAGTAAGCAAGTAAGTAAGTAATGTAATGCATGTAATGTATGTACGTATGTATGTGTGTGCATGCATGCATGCATGCATGCATGCATGCTTACATACATGTATGCATGTATGTACGTATGTATGTAATGTATGTATGTATGTAATGTCCGGTAATGTCATGTAATGTAATGTAATGTAATGTAATGTAATGGACTGTAATGTATGTATGTATGTATGTATGTATGTATGTATGTATGTATCCTTGCACTTCCCCTTTGCTCCCGAGTATTTCCCGCAAAAAACACGGTTTTTCCAGCGTTTTCGCAAAGAGGACGTCCAAAAACATTGAGTTTTTCCAGATTTTCGGCAAAAGGATGCAGGAAGCCCAAGCCAGCAAAAAAGCCGGCAGGGGGAATCGAGCCTGGGACCCCTGTTTTGCCTACGTTTAGTGGAACGTCATCAAATTGCCGCGCGGTACGTGGGCCCCACCCCCCCCCCCAAAAAACCTACGTAATAGACGTCGGGCGGGGGGGGGGTTAGGGGGGGGGTTATCCTCTATCCTCTAGTAAGTATCCGACACGCCGAGCAATGTCGGCGGATTTGTTTGAACATATTTTTGTTGTTGTTTCTGTTGGTTCAACCCTCTTTCCCATGAGGCCCCTTTAAGGCACTCGAAAGATGCTAATGAGAACCATGACGCATGGCTCATGACAGGTTTTAGGACCTCAAGATTCCAAGCCAGGTGAACTATGGAAGACAGTCAAAAGTCTACTCAGTGGTTTGATTGGGACGGGGTAACCCTTCGGACCCAAGCAAAAGCCGAAAAGTCCCGGGGGTGTTCAAGCTCAGGGGCTTCAAAAGGGATAGACAAGCATGCATCCAAGGGGTACTTCAAGAATGGCCTGGGTGTTTCTGGTGGTTTCGCGAAGACACCTAAAGGTAGGCTCAACAAACACCAATCAACCAAGCCGGAGAGGGGTTGCAAACGCCGAGCAACTGGGGTCTCCGGAATTGTGGCTATAAAATTTCATGCGGAAACCACTCAAGTGGTGGACACAAATCTCAACCTAAATCATTCCTCCAACCCACGGCCATACCCATATGGAACAGGGTCAGAAAATACTCAAGGGCATTTCCAGGCATGGATGGGTTTTGGAGGTATTGATGCTTATACACACCAAATGTAAGCTTGTACCGCGGTCTTCAAGTGGTATACGCCCTCCATACCTCCAAAATCCATGCCTGAAATCACTCTTGAACTTGGTGGTTCCCAGCCATCCGGTTCCTTAGCTTCTGAGCTGTTTAATTAATTTAGTGGCAGTTTGCATTTAACCCACAAGTTAAAAACTGTTGCTTACTTGCTTGAGACTGTGTTTGATTTCCCCTTGTTGGTTTTAAAGGGCATCTATCACTACTGGACATCTAATATCTCATTTCTCGTGTTTTTTTTTCCCCCCCCCCCCAGGCGGCACATTCGCAAATGGAAGTTTCGCTCTGAAAACAAACGGACGGCCCAGTGACATCTGGGGCCCATCTGCGGCCGATGGGAATCTCGAGGCGACCACTATGGCTTCGAGCACCCCTTGGTCGCCTCCCCAAAGGCCCGACTGACTTTGTGCGACTCCGAGGGACGGGAGTACTGACTCCGACTGACTCCGAGGGAGTGCACTTTGTGCGGGTTTGAGGGGAAATCACGAGGGAGACCATCCATTTTTTTTTTTTTGGGGGGGGATACATACCTAGGTCCCCCAGTGCCCGTTGACTCTGTTTTTTGGGAGGGTTCCCTCACTAAAATCGACTACAGAAAAACTCGGGTACCAACTTATTCAATCCTCTCTACTGGAGGACCTAGATACCCAATTGGACCGGGGGAAAGATGCTTTCGGGTGTGGGGCCTTCATGCCTCAAAGGTAAGTTCGAGAACCTCTAGTAGATCCCCCCCCCTCAAAAACGGAATTGGGGAGGGGGGTGAATTTTGGAATTGTTCATGGTTCCATTTTCCCCTTGGTTTTTTTTCCGGCAATTTTTGTTTGTTGGAATTGGGGACCCCCCACCCAGCTCCCCCTCGTGGTAGGGGGATGATAAGAGTGCACCTATGATTTGCTTGGTTGTCCACCCCTTACGGAGTTTCGGTCCCAGGGTTCGAACAATCGCGTTCTCTTGCGTGTGCTACACACATGATTGTCTTTTGGTGCAAGCTCGAACCTGTAGAAGCTGCCGAATTAATCGGTCTGAAAGAAAGAACACCAGCTGTGACAAACCCAGGCCCACTTCGGGGGACGCTTGGAAATGAAAGCCTTTGGGCCTTTGGATGGGGTACTACTGTGGACGAAATCCTGCACTTTGAAATCCATGGGGAACATGGTTTTGGCATTTGCAGGGGAATCATCATTGCAGGGTTTCTCAAATGAAGCCACAGTAGGTTTGCACAGAACACATGGCAACACAACTGAACATTGAAACTTGGAAATTGTAGAAGCTCATTTGGACGAAAAGGACCCCAGTCCAGATTACCTGCCTCCAAGAATACAGGCCTTTCCAACATGTGTTGATTTCATTTGGGGCTCCTTTGAAAGCCAAGATGGGGTCACCTAGCGCACCGCGGGGTGTCCCCAAGGCTTCAGAATTCCTCCAATTTCCTGGACCATGCCCATGAAGACGCACATCAAAAGTAAGGGTTTATTAAGGGTCAAGCCGCAAAGACGGAGGTATCATAGCTCTGCATGGTCTAGAGGTCTGTGGGGGAATCTGTGAGTGGCCTGTGGGGTGAGGTTCCAAAACAAAAACAACAACTCGGAAACGGGTTCAGCGAAGGCCCTACGAATGTATTCCGGGAGATATGAAATGGTGTAGGGTGGTTCCCCTCACTCGTGGACAAACCCATCCTGCCATTTGCTGGAGAAAAAAAACACGAGACAGCTAAACACAAACCCGCCTCCTTGCCACAACATAAGAAAGCAACACGACCTGAAGGTCAAGGGGTCCGCGCTCTGACTCATGTGGCTGTGGGTCAAAACCAATGGTACCTTTTTGGGGTAGGTGAATTCGCCACACATTTTATAACCTCTTTTAGTGGTTGGATGGGGATGTGCACTGGGGGTACGGGCTTTGGATTTTGACCCATGGCCATGTCATCTTCGGATCAGGGCGTTGACTCGTCGAGCCGCTGTGTTCGAGAGGTGCACAGTGTGAAGCGAGCAGCGCTGAAGCTATTGCAGCTCGGCCTTTCGGGCTGTGGTGGTTGGAGACCTTTTCTCCGCCCGGTGGGTTGCTTCCATTTTTCCGTTCTTTTTTTTTTGGTAAGGGCTTCCCTTGAAACTCAACCAACCAGAAAGGCTGCCCTTTCTTTCCCATGGCCACTGGGCTGAGATTTTTGACCTGGTGCCACCAGACTTTCTGTTTGAGTTTGCAAGCTTTAAATCGGTTTTTGTGGCTGCGAGGTTCACAATGTTAGTCATCTAGTCAAGATCCAAAAGTGTAAGCTTTGTCTGACCAGTGGACTCAGCTAGTCTGCAGGAGCATAAGGTTTGCTAGAACCTGCAAAGACAGTGGCAACCTAAACATGTGCTTGAGTCGTTCTTGAGGATGTCCTGTGTGGGGTTGGGTGTTCATTCCGCTGTCAGCTGGTTTCCATTAACTAGGTTCCGTTTTAAGACTCAAGAGGGACCTTGTCAACTACGGACACATCCATTTGGGTGGATACCCTGCTTGGGGTTGGTTTAAAGACATACCCAGCAGGTTGGAACGCACGTTGTAACACGTTCCTTGTTTGGAATTTGTGTTGTTTGAAAATTATAATGTTTTGGCGTATCAACTTAAACATGAGCAAGCAGCAAAAACGTGCAAAACATTGTTGATCAACAAGATGACCAGTGTTTTCACACATCCCTGAAGGGACCCCCAACCACCCCCGCCCCAAACACACACCCCATTGAAAAGGACCAAACCATGACAGCCCCCCTTGAAAAGGACCAAGCCATGACATTTTGGGAGATGTGTTCGGGGAGGATTGTGTGTTTGGGGTTGGGGGGGTTTGGAAAAGTTCTATGAATGTGTTCCCACTCAACGAGCAAAACTTGGTGCAGACCTGAGGCAGAAGCAGGGGGCAGCCCCACGGCACAAGGACGGGCACAAGGTCACCGCCGCTCGGCAAAACGCAAGCGGGGGAGAAGGGGTGGGCCACAGCTTTCACCAATCCGAGGGGGCCACCTACATCAAGAACCTCGTTATTCCCCAACAGCTGCAAGCTGTGGGGTCGATAGACCCAGATAGGCTCGTTCGGGGTGCTGCTTTCAGGGTGGATTCCGGAGGGCTGTTGAGGATATTACCTGTTGAGGATATTATCTGGGCTTAGTTGCTTGAAACAAATGCTATTTTCTGCAGGTGTTTGATCATTGTGCAGCCCCTGCCAGACTTGTTCGAAAGGGACACTTCGATCTGGTGAGAGCCCTGCCTCGGGATGAAGGGGCCGCTAGGTTTCTCCCCTGGTTGACCAATCAGGAAAGGGACCGCTCGTGCCATTTACAACTCACAATGTGTTCCAGAATCTGCCAGTGGTGTACCTGTCACTGAAGCCAACCAAGGGAACCATCCTTGAAGAACCAAGCCGAGCACACGCCTTGACCAGCAGGGAACCACCCAAGAACCAAGAAGAGCATCGTATGCCTTAAGCACTCGAGGGCAAAGTCACCCAACGAGAGAGCTTTAGGTGGAGAACATGAAGGAGCTCGCGCAGCTGACGCCGATCTTCCGCCCCACGTCCAAAAAAAAAGAGTCTGAGTGGGTTTCTTGGGTCTGGGTGGATGTGTTTCCCAGTGGATGCATTTACCTGGTAATGGTAAAGGTTTAACCAAGAACACCACCCTTTAAAACTTTAAATACACACCAGAAGGAAAATAGCGAAGGGTTGCCTCAAGACAAACCTGGGATCCACTGGGTTTGTTTGGCGTACCCTTTCACCTGGGTATGGAAGCCAAAAGGGAGACCATTTCGCGGAGTCCCTCTAGGACACATACCACTTTGGGGGTTTGACGAAGCCCAAGCAGGACGTCATCCATTTGTCTTGGGCCTTTTCTTGTTCCAGAGAATCCAGAGATGGGTGCGTCTCAAAATGGGCGACGTCCCAAGTGGGTGCTGTTCATTCATCAGCTCTTTAAGCCTTTATGCCAGCCAAACCACAACCAACTCACTTCCTGAGTGCCTGGACTTTAAACCTGTTGGGAAGACCATGTTGGTTGCAAAGAACATTTTGTTTGACTTGCTTTGGCCCATCAACTCGGGAGGTGAGCCAATGTGTTTTGTCCTCGTGAGGGTTGATCCAGTCGCCTGTTTGGATCACCGAGCTAAGAGACAGTTGCCTCCGCGAATGTCCTTTTCAACGTGTTCCTTCCATTTGCTGAAATGTATATGTTTTATTTCCCCCCCGTTGGTTGTTAAAGGAGTTTATCACTACTGGACATATAAATGTGTTTTCTTTTTTTATTCCCCAACAGCTGAAAGCTTGGGTCTCAGCCCAGATAGGCTGTGGGGTGGTCCGGGGCGGCCCTGAGCTAAAGTTCCACGAGGGTTCCGCCAGGGTTCCACCAGGGTTCCAGCAGGATTCCACGAGGTTCTGCGAGGGCTGCGGGGTGGTGCGAACACTAAAAAGGGCACCGTATTCTGTTGGGGATATCACCTGAGCTTATGTCGAAGTAAAGGTAGATCATGCGGGGGCAGCGGGGGGTGACCATACAGACTTATCTATATATGTATACATGTGTGTGTGTGTGCGTGCGTTTGTTTATTGATTAATTTAATTATTTGTTTGTTTGTTTGTTTGTCTGTCTGAGGCTCTTTGCAGGCTGCTTTGGAAAGGGCAACTGTTTAGCTTGCCACCTGTTTGGGTGGGGTGGGGGTCTATTTGAATTCGACGGCTTGGATCAGTCAGAACGGTTTCTACGAGAGGCTCGGTGCCTTGGGCTGCGAAAGAAAGGGAAGCCCAAAAGGGAAACCAAAACAAAATAAACGGTCCCCGGCTTCTACGCGCCTGCATGATTGTACACAATCCAACCAATCAGTTCCGGGGGGGAAGGTGAGCGCCCAAAGCCCCCACTGGCTGTTTTAGGAGGTGGTTCGACCTGGTTCGCGGAGGGGAAGTTTTGCACAAACATTTACACCCAGACCTTCAGGTGTGCCCGATTTTTCTTCGGGGCGAAAACGGGTGGCCCACCTGGCCATCTTCGGTTGCGCACATGAGCCTATTCCGAACAGAGAACAACTGGCGTCCCTCGGCCGGTGACGAAACCAACGCCACTTCGCAAGCAAGATTAGATGTTCTCAACAACTGGACTGGCGGCCAATTTGAGAATGGCTCACCTGACTTGGCCTGACCGGGCGGAGTGGAACAAACACATCACCCAAACCTTTGGATCAAAGGGCATACTTGCGTGCACTGAGGGTATGCCCCAAACGTGTACCCTTTTTCTACCCCTTAAACCCAATTGCTTGGTGCCCCCAGGTGATATGGACTACATGAGGCACCTTGAGCGTTAACTTGCCTCAAAACGGCAATTCTAATAGGTGGCTCTACTACGATTGGTTCATGCGGGTTATATCCAACCAGCTTGGTAGAACCAAGCCGGCTGTTGTTTTTGAGGGTGTGTTTTGCACTCCGTTACAAGGAAAGTAAAACAGAACACACCACTTCGTGGGTCCCCTCATTTTGCAATGCGGCAGGATTGCGTCATCTACAAAAGGTGATGCGCGAATATATCCTAGCCAACCGTTATGGATATTGCCAACCCCTCCCCTCAAAAAAACACAAAAAACAACAACAATAACAACACAAGTCCAAGTGTTTTGGCCCTTACAAGGGAAGTCATAGACAAAGCACCACTTCCCGGGGTCTCATTTTGGGGCACATAAGTCCAAGTGTTTTGGGGGCTCAGGATACGTGGACGAGGAACTCGGGGATTCGGACCTCCAAGACTTGCTGGAAGAGAACCCGCGTGTCAACAAGCTGGTCGTCGACTGGACGGGATTTGGGTCTTCTTTGGTGTCTCCAAAAATATGACGTCCACGAACAAATCCACCCCTTTTTAGGGAACATCTATGGAACAGAGTCAGCAAACATATGATTTTCTGTATGCCCCTTTTGTGTGGGCCGAGGGTCGGTCTGAGGAAACCCGCGGGAAGGTAGTCTTCGCTGCGAACCTTCTGGGTTGAAGGCCTTTGATTGTATTTCTACTGGGTTGACGGGGGTTTTGATCCCATGTCCCATTAGATTGCTAAGTCAAGCGGCAAGATGATTTCACAAAGTTCATTCTCCCATGATCATGGCTTCGCTTCTCTCTAAAACCAACCAACAAAGGGGCTCCCTCACCACTTAGTCTAAACTAAACACCCCCCCCTGTCCACTAACATGGAACCTGGCATTTTGGGTTCCTGGAAGACGATGGGGCTTCTCAAAAGTAGGGGACCCCAAAATAGTTCCCCAACTGCTGAAAGCTTTGGGGTCTCAGCCCAGATCGGCTCCGGGGTGGTCCGGGGCAGCCCTGAGGTAAGGTTCCACGAGGGTTCCGCCAGGGTTCCACCATGGTTCCACGAGGTTCTGTTGGGGATATCACCCGAGCTTGCGTTTTAAAGCACCGTAGAACCCCATTCTAGCTGTTTACTAAGCTTGTTGAGGGAGCCGCACTCAGAGGCTCGGAGCTGGGGGTGTCCAATTTTGCCTCAGAGGGAGCCTTGTGGAGCTTGCAGTTCTGTGAGGACACGGCAGAAGTATGTTTTATACATGCCCGTGTTCGCCAGGAGACCCCTGGAGGGTGAGACGCGTTCGCCCCCAAGGGCGCGGGAGCTGGATCCCCAGTCTTCGTAGAGACACAGTCAGCCTTGCCACTGTGGCCCCTTTTGGTGGGTTTTCAATAGAAACCAAGAGAAAACTGAAGCGCTTTTGGAGGGTTCCGACTTATTTTGAGACAAGTCCGCTTTGCTTGGTTGCATCTGCGGCCGCTGGGGTGGCTGAACTCGCCTTGTCCTTTCACTTGCGGAAGCTTTTGGGCTGCATATGTTTAAGACCATTTGAGTTGCAAACCAACAGTTCTCATTTGTTTGGGCCAAGCGAAATTATTAGGGCCTATCCTTGATTCATTATAGTTTTATTCGGGATAGCCCGCCCCCACACGAGCAATTGGGAGACATGCTGGTAGCGATAGTCCATTGTTGGTCTGGAGAGGACATGGGGGGCCCAACCCATATTTCCTACAGACACCATGTCATGTCTCAACCCAATTTTCCATGTTCACTGGGGGACACAAGTAGCTTTGTCTGCATTTTACAACAGGCCACCTTGGAGGTATATGCAATAATAAATGTTTGTTTTGCCGCGCAACACCTTAGTCTCAAAACGAATTGCGAAGCGACTGCCTGTGTCATCCCTTGCATTCGCCGTGGCTGAAACTCCCCAACATGTTGGCCGTGCTAGTCAGGGTTCCTCAAAAAAGACTAGGGTTATGTTCCATTTTGGTTAGGGCTCGCCTGGACTGTAGATGCAGGGCACCTTGCAAAGATGGCATGCTGGCACTTTCCATATTTGAACAAGTTGTTTGTAGCTCAGCTGCCCGAGCCTCGAGGTCCCACGATTTAGCCAGTGCCCTTGTTTTGCAGTTGAGCGCAGTTCAACATGAGCGGGCCACAAATGTATGTCTAACACGACACAAGGGGGCTGCCTTTATTTGCAGATGGGTCGTTGCCTGTGAGGCTCCCAACACCAACGCTGTAAAATCAAAGCTGGAAGGTTGGAACGGACACTGAGCCGGTTGCATCATTTTTGCGAAGACCATTTTGGCCCATCCCCTCAGAAAGTGAGACAAGATGGAGCGAGCTCTCCCGGGCAGTTTTTGTTCGCGACCTCGCCTTCCAGTGCTGGTTTGCAACCTTTCCCCATGACACTCCTTTCGTCAGGACCACGTGTGCGTGTGGCCCCGTTTCGGATGGTGAACCAGCAAGTCCCCGGACACGCTTTGTTGCCGAGTGTTTACTGTGACAGAGACATATCGAACCTACAAAGTTCTAAAATGCTCTAATCCTTGGGAAATAAAAGGGTGGCCCAGGAACCACTTCAGAGATGACATGGAGCTCTTGCGTCCACACAAGCCCGTAGCAAAGCTGAGCTGTCAGGCAAACAAGCAGAGGATTTGTCCGGTTTTTTGTTTGACTTCATTGGTTCAGTTCGAGTCAACGCCATACTCGATCCAAAGCCCGCTGACATCGTCAGGAAGGGGTTCATCATGATTCATCTAGTGATGACATGGCAGGAAACATTTCGTCCCACATACCACTTCGGATAGTGACTCGTGCAGTTTCTTTATTGTTTTCTTTTATCCAGCTGGTGCTCAGTAGGGAATGATGCAGTTTTGGGAATGAACCGGAAGGGGATTCCATTAAAGGAAACCATAGGGGTTTGTTTTTTCTGGTCATTCCAACTCATTCCCTGCCTATCGAACCAGCAAGTTATACGACCTTTCGCCTACCTCAAAATTAAGCTTGCTCTGATGAACATGAGTTAGCGTTTCACCACGGGATGTATCAGATCCTTCCAGAACAAGAGTTCCTGTTTTTGGCTAGAAGGACTGGCCTTTTTGCTTAAAGGCGGTCTGGCATGTGATGTCCTCCCCCAGCCCCTCAACGTTTCTACCCTCCCTTCAAAAAAAGAAAGCTGACAGACGAATGTTTTTGTTTGGACAACAACTTTCCTTTCGTGGATGCCCTTTGTCCACTTCCATGGCTGGAAAGAGGCCATCTACCAGGAATCTAGCAGCTAGCACCCCTCAGCAACTTCTCTTTCCCGTGTCCAAAAGTCCCAACCAATTGCTGTGCCAAAGAAGGGTGCACTGCTTTTCCCCATGTCCAAAATCCCAAGGTATCACTATCACTGTGCCAAAGCAGCAGTGGTTGGGAGCTGGTAGACGGTGGATGCCGCCCGCCGGTTGAGGCTGGACTTCGATGACGACGTGAACCAACTGGCGCTGCGCCCCAGCTATCGGTTCGTTTGATGCGAGGTGGGCAAACGGGAACATGTTGGCTGAGAGTACCAGTCTGGTTTGTGGTTTAAAGGGGAACCAAAAGGACCCACGATTTTGGACTCGTTAAACTCCTGGTTGACTAGGGGGTTCCCATTTTAGAGGCTTGACGAGAGGGGCGTCCCTTTTGAGAAGGCAACCTTGTACATGTTGGGAGCCCAGATTGAACCCGTGGAAAACTAGCGGGGTGTCCTAGTTTAGAGGAAAACCTTGCACATATGAGAACCCAGATTGAACCCCTGGTTTTACAGGGAAAACTTGTACGTATTGTGTCAGGGTGGCAGACGTCACTTGTATTGCGGATTATGGGCCCCATGTCGAAACGAAGCCAAGAGAACGCCGCTCACTGCTGCCACACCTTGCCTTCAAGTTTGCAAGTTCGCTCAGAGGTCTGCTTGGGCGAGCAACATGGGAAGTCGGGCGTTGATCGCTGCTTCGGCTGGTGCAACAAATGGATCAGTGGCTCACGACGGACCATCCACAACCTGGACGATTTGCTCGCTGCTTTGCGGCAACGTATCAACTAATTCCGAGAAGCTGCTGCACTAGTGCTTGGAAATCCTCCATTTCTGTGCAACTATGGAAATCAATCGCGTGGGTATCACACTAGTCAAAGGGCATTGGTGCGTCCCGCACGTGTAATTGAAAGCGCTGCTTGGGTCGCCCGATCAGATTCCTCAACGCACTGTTCTAGTTGATTTAGATCCCCGGAACCCTGGCGATACGAAAGATCGATCTTTGAGGGAACCCTGTGCGCATTTGGGTGTCCATCAAATGACAGGTGTTCAAACGTCTCCTCTTCTTGTACATTTGGGGGCAACTTGGTTTGCGAGCTTGCTACTGAACGCTTCTTTGTTCCAGGGGCTAACAAGCGGTGGGTCAAGCGGCCTTTGGGCGATTGAGGGTCATGTCGGCCAACATAATTTCGCCTGTTTGGAGGTAGTTTGGCCTATTGATTATTTATGTTTCATCAGAAGAGTGTCAGAACTACTGGCAAACCCATGGTTTCTTATTTAGGAATGAGGGGTGTTTCCAATCAAGGCCCGTCCCAAAAAATGCGAAACTACTCCCTTGTTGGTTTCCCATGCCAGTTTTCCTCGGTAATCCAAGCCAAGCTAGTTGCGGAGAGCCACAGGTGGTCCCGAAAAGCACTGGAATTGTTTGGGGCAGCAGCCTCACAAACAAGAAGCCATGGGGCGGGGGCGGGGAGGGGCAAGTAGGAGACTGGCATCGGAAAACATGGGACTCGGAGCCAATCGGCACGTCCAGCGACGACCAGGGTTGCCAGATCACAAGCTGCGCAACTACTCCCCCCATGGGATTTATTGGGATGTACAGCCACTACATATTCACCATGTAAAGGGTATGTAGTAACATCCAGCGAACGAAGGAAGACGGATGGGTCAGCTTAGTGCCCAACCGAGGCTTTTGGAGTCGACGTTGTTCACCCTCAAACTCCAAGAAACATGATGGATATTGACTCAAGGTGGCACCACTATGGGTAATTTTGCCAATTGAAGGGCTCAAGGCAGATGTCCGTGGGGGTTGTGGGGAAGTTTCCTTCAATGAGCCAGCCCAAGGCGGCGAGGGATCGCTTCGGGGCGAGGTTGGAAGGCGATGGCGCATTTGTCTGGGTGAATTATAACGACCTCACACGACCGAATTCACCCCAAATGGTGGTTTGTGTGGGGAATATCCCTCCACCGCAAGTTTCAGGCTGGTGAAATATTTTAATTCACCCAGAGTTGTACGAAAGCTCGCGGATCTGGGGAGGACTTGCGCTGATGGACACGAAGCTTGTCAAATGCATGCAACCATTGGATCCCTGCTCTTTTTTCTTAGATGAGATCCTAGTTGATTTATGCGGGATGTCCTATTTTGAAGGGGATTGTGAGCTTTTCTTCGGCAACACCCTCAGAATCATTCACTATCTTGATAAATCGGATCGACATAGGATGTCCACCAAGGTCCGGCTTTGAGGAGTTGGGGTTACATTGCATCGTGTCAGCTTGGTTTGGCTTTTTTCCAATTTGGGCGTGTGTCTTTTTTAAGGTGACCCCAAAAATGGTGGTTTTCCTTGAGGCGTTCCTTTTCGTCTACCAAAATAGGCATACCCTCAAAACACCTGCGGAAGGTGTTGACCGCTGACACTCTGCCCACGGTGTCTGGGGTTTGGAGGCCGAATCCGTTGGATTCAGTCTGTTCGAACAGACCAAGGAGTTCGAGAGTGGAACTTGTGTGGAATCCACAGGGGTCTGTCTTTTTGTCGAGGGTACTCTTTTTGGTTAAAGGTAAACCAAAAGGAAACCAACCATTTTTGAGAAGGTCCCCGAAAACAAGACGCATCCAAAGGATTCGGCCAGATTCCTTTTATTATGCTCCCCCGAATCGGTCTCAAGAGGTGGAATCCATACATGCCTATGTCAGAGCGAACAGGTCATGTTGATTCACTAGTAGTCATTTAGAGAATCCACCGTAGCCGCAATTTTCGACCGAACTCTCTCCCAAAATCCTTCTTTGCAGAAGTTCGCCTAAAATGTAGTTGGATGAACCTGTAGAACAAAATCAGTTCCTTCAGATGAACACTTCCTGCTGATCAGCAAAACCGACAAAAGGCATCCAGCATGAGCAGCGCTCAAATCCCCCATTGGCCGTTTTAGTCTATGCTTCTACTACGTGGCTTCAGGGGGTTCGTAAGGTATGTATAATCATGTAGAGCCAAAAGTCACTGGGTTTCGGGCACTGACATGTTTTTCTAGATTCGGCGCAGGCGCTGCTTTTGACGGCCTTCAGGCGCCAGACTTGTCAGGCGCGGAAGTCTGGGGAGTAGGTAAGGGGACCCCGGATCCATAAGCCAGGTCGATAGGAAGGGAGGGTTCAAAAATGCCGAGGCGGTTGCCTCATTCAATGTGAACGCTTTCATTGTTTGGAATATGTTCTTATTAATCCGAAAGGTGTTTATGGTCCAGCATCGACTTTTAGGCTGAAACAGAATACCTTGGACCAGTTTCAGGCATAGGTTTTGGAGGTAGGATGGTGGCTTGAATACCAATAATACGAGTTTGTAAGGCAGTAGATACCTCCTAGTACCATCGGTGAATAAGGGTCATATCTCCAATAAAAAGGAGTGCGTTCAGACGGATTGCCTAGCAGCCCAGATGATTCCTGGTTTATGAACTCAAGCTTTGTCAAGCAGACTTTTAGCATATGTGCGACCACAGGCTGATGCTTCTTTCAAAGGCTAATGGCAGGTCTGGCTAACATGGAAGCTCCCAGGACCCCTCTGGAAGACTCAGTTCCATAGCCTTGGAGCTTCCATGGCCAGGCAAGAAGCGATCGGACCGCAGGCAGATGCAGGCGTGCGCAGACAAGGAAGTGTAAACTTGAAACTGGAGCGAAACGCGCTGGAGGACGTAAAACAGGTTTACATTGCTTTTTTGGTCTCCCAGCATTGTATTTGGGTGCTGATCGAACCGATCCGATTCAAAGGGAAGCAACATGGAGGGCGCAACAATGGTCGTTTAGTTTGTTTGAACAAGTTGGCGCCCTGACATCTTGGGACGTTGGACTGGGCGCCTTCCTCAAACTGGGCCATGTGAACCTGGTTTCCTCGCGCCCGTATCGCCACGGGCCAGATCCACGAGTCAACAGGTTTGGCTCAAAAACCGTGAAGGCTTCGTCCCGAACAATGGGCTTTGGTACCTGGACCCTCAGATCTCAGAGGGTCCATCTCCATGTCAATACCTGGTTTCCTGGCGAACCCCCCCAGCCCCCAGCCCTCCGAATCCTCAAGTGTTTGTGACTTTAGTCTTTTTTTGGTGGGGTTTTCACTTAACCCTCAAGTCAAAGACTGTTATTTCCATTTAAGCTTTACATACATATGTTTATTTTGTTTTAATTTATCCCTTGGTTTTACAGGGGACTCCATTTCTCACTACTGGACCAGACCACACAAACACGCCTCGCTCATTTTCCGCCGCTCGGTTTGGCTGGCGTGGTCACGTCTCCCACCGTCACCGCAAACCTCGTTCGAGGCTTCGCGGACCTCACGTCGAAGTCGCCGGGGCTCTGGCAGTGCTTGTCCTCGTTACCAGAGCAGCGCCTCGAAGCGAAACGCGGGGCTCGGGGCTCGGGGCTCGTTTTTACACAATGGGGAACCAAGTCGGAAATACTGTTTTGGGGTCGGCCAAAAGCCTTCCAAACAACTGAACCATTTTGTATGCATTTTGAGGCCCCCGAGCTCTTTTCCAGCACAAACAGATTCTCCGCATTTTGAGGGGTCTCTGAGGGAGGATAGGCCTAACCCAGCTTCGGCCGCGGTATGGCGTAGAGAGTGTGGTTTAACAGGGCTTCACAGTTCTGGGAAGGTTTTGGTTTGCTTTGGGTTCTGTTCATGTTTTCTGGGTGTCTGCAAGAAACACACAGCTTTTTGCCCAAATGCCAAGGTTTGATGGGTGTCTGCAAAAATAACATGCGAACATGCCAAAGATTTCAAAGAGGCGTGCCCCCAGATTTGCCTAGTCCAGTTCAAACCTGAACAGCCACCCGTGTCACCTTTTCCAAACATCACCTCCTCGGCCAATTTAAAGTGGGCTTTGGGTGGGGTGATGAGGGAATTTGTGCTGCGGAAAACTGCGAGGAGAAGGCCGCCGTGGATTCCAGTGCATCAGCCAGCTTTCTTGAGCTGCGGAGAGAAATCGGTGGAACTTCACCTCATAAACCATGTCCCCGAGCCATGTCCGCGAGTTGCTGGGTTTCGGGGACTTTCGAGTTCGCCCATATCGATAACCTGAATGAAAGGAATTGCAGCAATGCATCTTCTGGGAAACGGCAGAAATGCCCATAGAAGCCTTCCGGAAGAGGTTGGAGCACTTCGCACGTGGTGGAGTGCATGGAGAATGAATCCAACTGACAACATGTTTTGTCACATGAAAAGAGCGAATATATTTATTCCTTCTGGTGGCCAAAATCCAAGTTGCCGGGTCTCTTTCCCTTAAACCACTACTTACTTGTGCTGGGTGACTTATCATTTCCGTCCAACTTCAAGCACTAAGTGTTTTGCTTTCATGCTTGCAAGTTCCCAGTGACAGCGTTATCCCTTTTTCTGTTTTCGGGACCCACCAACATGGAGAGGGGGGCGAATGTTGCCAAGGTATCGGCTCTCGCGTATGCTTTCAGTGGTCTGGGGCCAAGTGGCTTTTCTCGGATCGCCCGGCTTGTACTTGATTTCCGCAAGCCAAGCTGCACGTCTTGATGGAGGTTGGGAAGTCTTTTGAAGGGGGAGAGGGCCAAGAGTTATATATATATATATATATATGTGTCTATTCGGTGATCTGGGGAGTCTGACTGAGCCAAAACCCCTGACAAAGAAGCTTCAACTTTTCTGCGCCTGTATTCGCAAAAAACAAAGTATAAGCTTTGTTTGGCTCGGGCGGAGTGGCCCAGTGGCCTGGGAGCCCAGTGGATTGACAAGCCCGAGTTCCACCTCTTCAGGGGTCGAAGAAAATTAGGGAAACAACCGACCGGGAACCCAATGGGAAACAACCCAGTTATAAATTGTATGGTTGCTCCCATTCGACGGAGTAGAAAGCCGATCCTTCGGAAGCAACAAGACCCAATGCCAGATGTTGCGGAGTTGGGCACAAGTGTTGGGCTGAATACAGTTCTGAGTTGGGACTACGCTCACTGACGCTAAAGACATGGCGAAGCTTCAACTGCCATCAAAGCACTCCTATCCGATCCTGGGATTGTAACACATGAAGTTGAGGGGTCTGCCATTCCCTCTGACCTGCTTGAAGATGAGTTCAGGGCCGCACACCCATTGGCAGCTCAGTCAGACAAACTGGCTCCCCAAAGTCCTTTGAACCTGTGCGTGTTCCATGTGAATTTGAATCAATATTATACACACGAGCAGCTTGGACTTACCAGTTGAGTCGTGAAAGCGAAGCTTCCTTTGTGATTTTGGTCAAGGCAGCCAAGAAGCTAGAGCAATGTGGCCAGTAAACTCGCGTCAGTGGATCTTTTTGGTTGGGGTCTACCTCTTTCCCCGATTGGATGGCTCCAACCCCTGCAGAACGGCCCTTCAGTTCTTTCCTTTCCATCTTCCTCGGTGGGAAGCACATTTGGGTGTGACTTTCTTTGCGCAGGTTCCCTTCTGGTGTTGTTCCCCAAACAGTGGGCTAGCTAACACTAAGGGGTTCTTGCGGTAAGTGTAAAGGCCCGGTGCCAGATTGAGGTGCTCTCCCTGAGCCGGACCGTTTTTCGTGGTATTTACGTACGCAAGTTCCCTTGTCACATTTCGACCGTGCGGGCTTGCACAAAGTGGTGGGACGAGTCTGGTGTGTTTCGAGCCGTGGTGCGGTGCGAATTCCAAAAAATGTTGATTCGTGAACCCTCTGCGGACTCTCGGCGAGTCGGATTACTCTCGTTGTGGCGCGGTGCGATTTTTGAGCATTGAAAGTGAACCCTCTGCGCACTGTCAGCGGGTCTCGCTGTGGCCCGGCACGAAATTTAGCATCAAAAGTGAACCCTCTGCGGACTTTGGGTGGGTCGGATCGCGTTGTTGTGGCATGGTGCGAGTTTTCAGCATCGAAATCAACCGTCTGCGAGCTTTGGGTGGGTCGAATCGCTCTCGTTGTGGCGCGGTGCGAACTAGTGACATTGAAAGTGAACCCTTTGCGGACTTTGGGTGTGTGGGACCGCTCGCGATGCGAATTACGGACGTCGAAGTACAGGATCTGCAAAGATACTCTTGCAATATATCTTGTGGATCCCAATATGTCGAGGATCCTGTCATGGATCCTCTTGCCAAGAGATTCTACCAAGACCAAGACATCCTGTCCAGAGATCACGCGCGCAGATCTTGCAAAGAGATCCTACCGAGAGATCCAACTCATACACCTTGCGAGAGATCTTGTCGAGGATGCTTTTTGCAGATCTTGAACAGAACACTTGTAGAGGCCCAGAGACTCTGCAAAGATTCTACAAAGTCCTATCCACAGGTCCCGCGCAGACCCTTCCACACAGATCTTGTCCAGGAATTTACAGAAACTGTTGCTATTGCAACTTCCTTCCATTTTACATGTCATCTCACCCCTCACCTGTTGCGTGTTTAAGACATCGCTCGCTTTTCTATTTTCACACCTCCCCCAACGCTGTTTGGGGTCTCTTGCCGAGGAAAACGCGTCCATTTCGAGGGGCTTCCTTGTTGAGACAACCAACTATGTCTTTGTGTACGTCTATATGAACCCCTGGTATGAACCGCCTGGCCGTTAGTTATGCTGCCTTCATTGGAGTCCCATGGGTTCACGGAGCGAAAAAACGTTGAGATCAGTCGTGGGCTTCAGGTTTTGAGCGCCTCAGGCCGGCAACGTCCCGGAGCTGCCGGAAAGTGTTTGGAGGCGCGGCAAGCTCTCGGCGCTTGGGTTTGCTCGAGCCCCGGTCTGCCGTTTTATGAGTTTCGAGCTCACCTAGGTGACCACGATTGTCCGTCACTTGGGATCCAACTCTTCTTTTTTTCAAGTTTTGGAATTGTAAAATATGCAGTGGTTTTCAGGGTTGCTCCCAACCCCTCGTTACTGTTGGCTTCCACCAGGGTGTCACTTTCCTACGCTTGTGACGATCGGATTGTTGGCTCAATTGCAAAGTTGGGGTGCCCGCATGGGGCAGAACTTTGCCAGCGGAGGGGGGGGAGGGAAATACCTCTTGGACAAATAACAAGTGTAGAAATCCCTCTTGGAAGATGTTCAAGGGCAAGCCGTAGGGTCGAATTACAGCCCCCCTTGATCAGCATGGATGCGTAGCTCGTTTCCAGAGATCCTAGCCGCGCATTTTCATTGGCAAGTTGATGTAAAGGGAACAATACTGAGCGTTAACCACCCTCACAGCCTCCAACAAAGCCACCCTTTTCAATACATGGAATTATTGGGTGCAAATGACACAATGTATGGAGGGGCGCAACTCACATGCGTCAACCAGAAAGTCCATCCTTACTCCTCGTGCAAGATGGTAGTGGCTTCTGTTGTTGCATTGGTGTCCCAGCCACTACACAGACAGCCACTACACAGACAGCCACTACACGCATTACGGACTAGGGATCCTGCCATTTTGAACAATGTTTGTAGGAGGCCGAGAGTTGTTTTTGTCGTTTCTTCCCAATGTTAGCCTGAAGCCACCTGACCATGTGTTTTGGATGGAATCTGACATACCTTTTCGGAGTGTTTCGGGGTCCATGTTCATTCCTAGGACCTCCATTGTGTGTAAAATAACTGCTTTTTCAGAAATATCTGCTTTTTCACCCCTACGAGCGATTTTCAAATTTGCGAGTGTTTTTCCTAATCATAAAATATTTGATAATTATGCAACTTCTGCACTCATGATTTTCGTGAACAAAGCGGATTTTGCCGGTCAAAAAGCGGATTTTGCCGGTCAAAAAGCGGATTGTCCTGCCATTGAATACGCTGCCCGCTCCAGGAAAACTATGGAAGGAAGCAAGGCTCCAAAAAGCACTTTTGAATCGAAACGGCGGATTTGAAATGAAGCGACGGAAATGTGTGCTTTTTCATCAAACGGCAGAAATTTTACACAGCGGATGTTCTAGGTTCAAATTTGAAGGGGAGTACCTACCCTCTCCCCAATCATGGAAGTGGGCAGAAAGGTTCAAGGGAAAGTAGTCTTCCAGCACCATCCTGTGAGCTTCGATTGGAAGGGAGGGTAGTCCAAGCCATCGCGCAGGGATTACTTGCAGCCGGCGCTTGCGCCAGTGCGGGTTTGGGCAGCCCTGAGCGTGCGGGAGACCATGCGCCAGCCTCAGCGCAGTCGGGCGGATGGTGCCGGCGCGTTGGGGGAAGACTCATTCCTTCGAAGCCAGCCTTTCGTGTTTCGAGCTTTGATTCGCTTTTTGGATGAGACAGAATGGGGAAGTTCTGGAGCTCGGGGGAATGAGTGTGGTGGCCGATGCTGGTTCCTTGTTTCGTGATGAATATGATTTCAGGTGTGGGAAGTATCTCGAATTTGCCCATTTGGAATTGTTTTGGCATCTATGGCCATCAGCTGGCGAGTACTGCAACTAGGCACAAGTTCGTGATTTGGGCGCACGGCGACTCTTTAGGCCTAATTTTGACCTGCCAAGCTTCATTAACTATGGCCCGCAATCTAATCATGACATGTTTTGTTAGGAGGAGACGCTGAGACAGACATCTGTGTTGCAGCACGTGTTTCGCGAAGTACAGCCACCTGAGTGAACTAGACATCAGTTTATCTCAACATTGGGCACCTTTTAGATTGGGCTTCAAAAATACCCAAGGTGTGTCATGGTGTTGACAGTGTTTGTTTTTTTTGGGAGGGGAGGGGGGGGTGTCAAAAACAGCAACCGGAAGTGTTTCCATTTAGTCGATCATGTGGGGGTAGCTTTAAGAGTGGCAAAGGAGGGCTGGCAAAAGGATAACAATGGTTTTGTTTGTGGTTTGGTTCACTGACTCAAGTGAAGCAAAGGCGTCTTTGGCAAAAGCAGATGGAGCCATCCCGGAGCGACCGGAAGCATAGCGACAAGCGAAGATCTGGCACTCTGAAAGTCCTAGTGCTAGCTGAATTCTGTGAGAAGTACGAATTGCCTCCATTTGCTTAAGAATGTTTTTTTTTTTTTTTTTTTTTTTTTTGTTCCCTTGTTGGTTTTAAGACGAATTTATCACTACTGAAAATATAGTTTTACTTTTTTCTGGGGCCTGAACCAAATGTCAAGACACATTCTCAGGCAACCAATAGAACCTGACAGCCTCCTGGAAGGCCATGATGAAGGGGACGACTGTGCAGGTTCTTTTTTTGCGGGCGAGGGTACCATGTGTCAGGTACTTCTCCTTTGGTGCATTGTACTTGGATGTTAGGACTTTAACTTTTTGCCAATTAGTGGGTTTTCCATTAAACCACTAAAAGTTAAACTTTTAGCAGGGGAGCAGAAAGCAATCGAGTCTCAATTGGTGATTTGGATTGGGGGTTGGAATTTGAAGCTCTGCTTTCTGCAGAGGGTAAATGGGTCTCACCCCTGCGGAACACCACCAAACCACAGGGCTCCACCAATTGCAGGGAAGCTATGACGCATATATCCATGCTCTCCATAAGATCCCGAACCAATGCCGCCCAAAACCTTGCCAGAAATTGCCACACGAGAATCAAGCTATGTCTCCCCGAACGGATCTTGGACCGCTTGGACTTGCTGATTTTGCTGGCATGTACCGTTGTTAGTGTAGCGTTGGGCTATACGCCACTCCAAGTTGCCGTACACTGCCACTTATGTTTACCGAAGCTTATGTCACTTTTACAGAGTGAGTAAACCGGACAAAGAGTTCCCTTGGTTCTCACCGCTCCGACTCCACAGTGCACATTCAAGGGTGGAACTAATTTTGTGCAGCATAATGCGATCAACTGGCAAAAGTGTCCAGCAACGGGGACTACAGGGGCAAATCCATACAAAGGAGCAGGACCGGGTTGTGCGCTCATTGTCACCTAGAAGGGGTTGGTCTCACGAAATCTCCCACAAAAACCAACAAAACTCAGGGCCCGTCGTTCGGGCTCACCGATCTGAACAATTATCCGTGCCATGGTCTTGCTTGATGTTGCTTTTGTTTTCGCATGGAGCCAAATGTCTGCGCTCCAGGGCACAAGATCACAGGAAAAAATGCTGAGCGCCAAATCGCACCATACTTTCAATCTACGCAAACAGAAACATTTGTGAATTGTTTGGTGTATCCACACCCGCGTTTAGCACCCAATTTGTCTGGAGTTTCTCAATACAAATGAAGGAAAACCGGATTCAGAAGTGATTTCCGAGTCTCCCACTTGGTATGAACCAGAATCCGCCAATCCATTTTGCACGGAGTCGGATCCTCTTTTAGACTCGTTTGTATCAATTTGTAGCGCCACCCTTCTCCAGCAACAAAAACAGGGGGGAAGGTCGACCCAGGATTCATAACCCAGGA